ACCAGCTTGACCTGCGGGCGGCCCGGCAGCGGCGGCCCGCGGGGCTCGGCGCCGGGCGGCGGCGCTGCGGCGCCGGGCCGAGGAGGAGGCCCCGCGCGGGCTGGCGCGGCTCTTCTCCGTCGGCCGCTCCGTGCAGGGCCGCGAGCTGTGGGTCGTGCGCCTCAGCGCCGGCCTGCCGCCGCCCGGCGCCGAGCCCGGCGGGCCGCCGCTGCCGGGCCGCCCGCAGGTCAAGCTGGTGGCCAACATGCACGGCGACGAGGCGCTGGGCCGCGCGCTGCTGGTGCGCCTGGCGCGCCACCTGGTCTCCGAGTGGCGGCGCGGCGACGGCCGCGTGCGCCGCCTGCTCGGCGCCACCGACCTCTACCTGCTGCCCAGCCTCAACCCGGACGGCTTCGCGCGCGCCGTGGAGGGCGACTGCGCCTCGGCGCACGGCGGCCGCGACAACGCGCGCGGCCGGGACCTCAACCGCAGCTTCCCGGACCAGTTCGGCGCCGCGCCGCCCGACCTGGACGCGGTGCCCGAGGTGCGCGCGCTCATGGAGTGGATGCGGCGCAGCCGGTGAGGCGGGCGGCGCTCCTGCGGGGCGGGGCGGGGCGGGGCGGGCGGCTGGGCCCCTGGCCGGGCCGGGGGGCGTGAGCGCCCCTTCGCCCCGTGCGCCGGCGCGGCGCCGAAACGCTGCTCGGGTCGCGGCCCCCGGCGCTGCAAGAGGCACGCGCAGTTTCGCGTGCAGCGCAGAACGGGTCGTCAGAACGCAGTTAGGAGAGGCGAGTCACCTTGCAGGGTCCGCGGCATCGAGGCCGGGAGGGGCTCCCTGCTGCCGCCCCCCCTCCCGGGCTCACCTGCCCCGCCGAGGCTACCTGGAGGGGGGCCTTTCACAGCCGCCTTGCGGTCCAGCGCCTGTACCTGGCAGGCGCAATAGCCCCTTTTTTTAGCTTGTCCTTCGGGGCGGGGAAGCCGCCTGGGCCTGGGCAACCCCCCGGGGGCTGCGTGGCAGCGACAGGGGGGCCACCCCACGCCACCCGTGTGCCGTTCATGCACGCGTTCCCGGCGCCTGGAAGCGGCAAGGGCAGGTCCCGCTTGCCCCTTGCATTTCCTGGCGGGTGGGAAGGGGAGCGTTGCGCAGAACTGATTTGGGGGAACTTTGAGGATGAAATGCAGCCTCTGCTGTAGGACAGCATCTGTATCCTGATGTGTGAGATGTAGGGTGGTGTTTACAAACAGGCGTTCCCTTCTTCCAACAGGTGTGCAGTATGGAAGCACATCTAAGAGGGGAGGGGATTAGAGGCATTAGAGGGTTAACAGAATTAGCGCTCACAGCCAGTTTGGCTAATTATATGCTGCCGTTTATTGTTCATTTTTGTTTAGCATCTTAGTGTTTTAACGCTTAACTTAAAAGCCCAGCAAGAAAGGAAAAAGTTGATGAACAGTTGGTCGAAACTCTGGTTTTGTCTGTTTGTCTTGGTGGTATCTCAAGATTTGCGTAAAAGGTGCATGTTCCAAATCAAAGCTCACAAGCTTCATGTTAGACTCATCCGGATTTAAAACCACAGTGTCACAGGAAGAGTTAAAAGCAGCTACACAAGGCAATCCTTTGTGGTCGTCTGCTGCCTCGCTGTAGCGCACAATACAATAACAGGCGTAATATTAGGTCACTTGCTCAAAACTGGATAAACAAGGGGGAGCATTCTTGTTTCACCTTCTGGCACAGACATTTAAGAAGGCCTTAAAAGTAATCTCTTTTCTACTGCCCCTCCTAAATAGAATGGACGGTGGTGTGCTCCAAAGTAGCTTTCCTTTACATCTATTTTCTCTGTGGTGCATTTTTAAGATTTGTCTAATGCCCTGACGTTCTCTTCGTCCAGTGTGTGCCACTGTATGAGAGTAAGGCCATAAGTGGCTTCTAAATACCATAAGTAAAATGCAAGAAGCCTTGCCTGCTTTTCTTCGGGAATGTCATGCTCCGGTTGGCGCTCAGGCAGGTCCTTCTGAGGCCGGCCCACGAGCACATCTTGAGATACTGAATGCTTTAGAACTCGCTGAGTGGCTGAGAAGGGTGAAGCTGGAGGTGTGCGTGTGGGTTCTTGCGACTAAGTTAGAAGAAATTCGTGCAGGTTCCATTTTCGCACTGGTTTCCTAACTAGTGCGCATGCTAATACCACCCCCCTATTTTATCTAGATGTTCACAAGCTTATAGGAATCGTCCCTCTTAATTACTGTACTTGTGGGGGACATCGCAGCAGCTGCTGCTAGTGCAGTTTTATGGCCAGCCGCTCGTGCATTTTGTCAGCGTGATCCCTAATCATGGACTGCAGTTAAGTGGTCTTTCCACCTCAGTCAGTGGTTCCTGTCATTTCACGACATTCTTGTGGGGCTTGGCTTTTTGGAAGCTTCCTTTGAGAGACTCCCCCTCTCCACTCCACAAAGCTAACCCTTTACTCGCTGTCCTTGCTCCCAAGTGGATTTTGCACGACTTCCATGAAATTGAGCGTCGTGGCTTAAACATGCTGCAGTAGCGGAAGGCTTTTAAAATCCTGCGTTCACCTTTCTGGTTCTCATGAGTGTCCCGCTTCTGTTTTTAAACAGGTTTGTGCTTTCGGGGAACCTACACGGAGGCTCTGTTGTTGCCAGCTATCCCTTTGATGACTCGCCCACACACAAGACCTCTGGATTCTACAGCAGATCCGCTGACGATGCCGTCTTCAAGTACTTGGCCAAGGCCTATGCCTCACACCACCCGATTATGAAAACGGGCACCCCAAACTGCCCCGGGGAGGAGAAAGAGACTTTCAGAGATGGCATCACCAACGGCGCCCAGTGGTACGATGTGCCAGGTAGGCCAGAGCACGGGGTATCCCGTCTTGTGCCCTCAGAGAGCAGCCTGTTAGAAGAACTCTCCAGTGTTGCAGAGAAAAAGCCGCGCAAGGCCCTGCTGAGGCAGCCGCGTGGCCTGAGCCGGATACAGATCCTCCGTTTGCATGCTGCCGTTGCACAATAGAACCGGTGTGTCAGCACACCTCAGGCACATCTGTTAGATGTGAGCAAACATCGAGAGGTCGCTGTGACACGCTGGCTGGCTGTTGGCACTGTCATAATCGTGAGGCAGGCGTGGCGATGGCTCCCTCCCGGATCTGAAAAGGGCCAGAGGAACTCGGCTCTGTTCCTTCCTGTTGGTGTTCGACATAATCAGTGGCGAGACGGGGATCTGGGGTGGGTAACGTCTTGCCCTTGACGTTTGGTTTGGCCCCGCCAAATCGGGAGTGATGGAAGCTGGCCCTGCAGAACGGTCTCCTCCGAAGCGAGTGGGCCTTCTCTCCCTGCTCGCTCCCCAGGGGCCTTGTTTTTGGACAGTCACAAATTGTGTGTGGGTGTGTTGCCCCTGTGAAGGCAAATTCAGTAGTGGGGAGCGGGTGCCTTGGCCAGGGGTTCTGGGGCATGCTGTGTTCCCCTGTCCTCCCGGAATGGCCCACCCGGGCGCAGACTCTGGACGGAAGTGCTCCTTTTCTATCGCACGCAAGCGCCTTTGTGCTGCTTCTGTGCCTCTGGGTTTCAATTTGTCCGTAGTTCTGAGCATTCTGCTGTTGCCGAGCTCACCGTAACCGTTTGACCAGCTGATGCTCGAAGAGATTTGTTGTCCTGCTCTGTTCCTAACCTTCCCACCCATTTTTCGATGGTATCTGTCAAATTCTGAGCCATGCCTCCAGGATTGCAAAACTTGAGCCTTAGAAAAGCTCCCGAGAAAATTGTCACTGGATTCCCATTGCAGGCTCCCGGTCTTTTTTGCTGAGCCTTCCCTGTTCAAACAAGTTTTCCCTTCCCTTTGTTACGAGTTGCCAGCTCCGTTTCCTGCAGCTTTCCTCTCACTCTCCCGAAGGGAGGGAGGAGGAGTGGACTTGCGCCAGGAACGTGGGTCAGTCGGCTTGGCACACCAGGTGCCTGAGAACGAGGATGCTTGGTGTGGCTCATCTGACTCAGGATATCCTGAACGGCTTTGCCGAGGCGTGTTTCACTCGGTCGCTTTCTTCGGTAGAGTACAAGTTACGAACAAGAATATCTCAGTCTGGGTTTGCAGGGAGACACGGCCGTTGCCGAGGCCTCCATATGGTCGACACAACCACAAGCCAGGCACACTTGTCGCTTTGCAAGGTGCTTGCTGCCTGGCTTGTGCATCTCCTGGCTGAGCTTTGCTTTCTGTAACGTCTCTCTGTGATGTTGTATGTTACTGTGCGCAAGCTAGTTTGGAATCTAACGTGTCTTACCCCACTGGTCAGCCAAAAAGTCTCCTGGAGCATCTTGATATGCCACAATCGATGTGGATAGGCTAGCGGTATCAAAAGATACAGTGCACGAGGGAAACGGGATGGGGAGGGAAGAAAGCGGAAACGACTCGGTAGCTACAAGCCAGCGGTATTCAGTAGTTCTACTTCCCAGTTGGGGAACTGATGGCCCAGTGCTGAGTAGCCATTAAAAGACAATACTGCTTTTGTTCTTCCCAGCCTGGTTGTATGTGTGTTTGCTTAAGGGATTATGGCTCATTCCTAAAATTCAACAAGTGTATATTCCCACAGGTTTCAACTTTTTCTGAACACAATAGAATAACTCTGGGTATTCTGGATTAATGAAAGCTTTGGGCACAGGCCTAAGCAAGGTTACATGAAAGGTCTTTGAATCCCCGGCCGTTCTCTGAGCTGCTCGAGGGATGCCCTTTTCTGCCTAAACATGCCTAGGATTGCGTCCTGCCTTGGGAAGGGCTGTTCCACTTTATCATATTTAAAATCGGTATACCAATTGCAACCTTTAAGTTGCCTTTGGTAATGTTTGTAACACTTGTAGACGAAACGGTTTCATATTCTTCTTAGTTGCAGTGATAAGAATCTTCTATTAAACTAGCAGAAATCACGTTTGAAGTTGCCAACTGCTGATAACTGAGCTTAGGAAAGTAGCAGTGCAAATTTACCCTCGTTATCTTTTTTTTGCGATGGGGGAGCAACTTCGTTTCAACAGGTTCACCCAGTAGTGACCCACGATTCGTAAGAAGCAAAATTATGGAGTCTAGATAAACAGGCATGTTTATGACATAGCAGGGCAAACATAAACGTTAGTTTTGATTGTTTGTTTGCTAGAATGTTGGCTTCCTTAGTTCAGTTGGTTTTGTTGACGCCGCTTCTTAATTTGCACGTTCATCTGTCACGGAGCCCTTCTTCATGTTTTTTGTGCTGCTAAAATAAGGCACTTGGTCAGCGAAGAAGAATCCTTTTCTGGAATGGCACTGCGTCTGTGGAATGCCTTTCCGAATCCTCTGTACTGGGATCCCACTTGTACGATGTTTTGGTAGCAGGTGCAAATGTGTTTTCCCCCCACCCATGCATTTTTAATTCTGCATTAGTGTTTTTAATAGCTGCTGCTTGGAATCTGCATTGTGGCTTAATCTTTTTCAACTGAAATTGATTTTTAATTAGGCTACTTACTCATTTCCTGGGCTGTGTTAATTTTATATTTTTCTTAACTGTACAGCTTGTGCTTGGTCTTTATTTCCCAAAAGCCACCCCTTAATGCTTTTTTGGAGAGATGGGGCACATGAGCCAAGTCCATGAGGGAGTCCTGGTGTAGCGATAAATACTGCCTAATTTCTGAACCAGATAAATCATTGATCACACTTAACTATTGGTTAGCACAGAGATATTAACCATCCTTTCCTAATTGGTGTGTTTATGAGACTTTCACTAATGAATCCATTACCCAGTGGGTGTAGCAGGAACTGTGGTGCTGGCGGTGTGAACGCAGGGTTGCCTTAAAATGGGAACTATTCCTACAGAGGAAAACTTTTCTGCAAGGACGCCTGCTTTGACATCAGGGAGTGAGGCATCCTCTATGGAGATCACATATTTTTATTGATTGATTGATTGACTTATATCCTGCCTTTTTCCTACAAAGGGCTCAAGGCCGCTGACATCATTCTCCTCCTCCATCTTATCCCCACAACAACAGCCCTGTGAGGTAGGTTGGGCTGAGAGTCTGTGACTGGCCCAAAGCCACCCAGTGGGCTCCATGGCCGAGTGGGGACTCGAACCCGGATCCTCTGAGTCCCAGTCCCACGCTCTTAACCATTGCGCCACACTGGCCCCCTGGTATTTGCTCTAGGTTGCAATCATATATGGGCTCGCCTGGAACAGAAACCCCAGCAAATGCAGTAGGATTTGCTTCTAAATAGGCATAAAACTGTGTTGTGTGGCTTCAGTGGTGTTGCAACAGGAAACTTAAGCAATGCTTTTCAACCAGAGCGCTCTGTTGCAAGGGGTGGTGTCAAGGAAATGAACTGGGGTGTGTTTGAAAATAAGCAGCCGGTCGGAGAGCTTTCCCGAGCGCTGGAAAGATGGTTCAGACGAAGGCCAGTCCCTTTGTTTTTAACTTCCTTGACGCTCTGCACAATCCCTCCTTTCATTGAAGTTTGCAGCTGCTGAGGTGGAGAGGGCAGGCGGGCAGGGCCTACAGCCCTCGAGAGAAAGGGCTGTGAATTACCGGTTAACTGTGACACTCTCCCTGCGCACCCGCTTCCCTTCCCAAGCTTCCTCAGACCTGTCACTCAACCAGGGAAGAACCAGAACCCCAGCCAGAATGCTGCCCTTCTCTTACTGGCCTAGCCCGGTTTCGGGGTCAGAGGTCCGTGACCTGGAGAGAAGGTGCATGAGAGAAGGTGGCACGGCCATTTTGGCCACCTCAGGAACCAACATGGCGCCGTCCGTGGGCTCCCCTTTCCCGGTTCACTTCCACTCGGCCGTGGCGCTCGCTCTGTGCCACTTTAGGACACGTGTGTTTTCTCTAATCTACTTCGAGAGGTGGTGTTAGGATGAAAGCGGGGACTGTAGCCTAGCGCACTGGAAGGCCCCCAGCTGGGAAAGGCTGATAGAACGGAATAGCCTGTTTTCCGCAAAGAAAGTCTGAACGTTTTCTCCTCCGGTGCAGGGCTTTGCTTCTGTAAACACGTGGTTTGGAAAGCACTGGACCCTCTTGCAAACAACAAAAGGCTTTTGTCACTAACGCTAAAGCCCACGCAAGCTTGCACAGGCATTCGGGGAACAGTGCATAGGTCTGTGCTGTTCTGGCTAGCAGCTGTCAGGATCCTGGGTCTGTCACCCCACGTTGCTTTGTTGGAAGCCAAGAGGGCTGAGGAGGAACCGACCAGAGGGAGCGTACCCACGAAATGCCCCTGAGTAGCTGTGACAGAGTCGGTGTGGCGATGGCCGTCCGGGGTCCCTTTGGGCCCGGCGTCCTGGTGGTGTGACGGCTGCTCACCGGCCTTCTGGGGATTTCGGCTGCAGGTGCCAAATAAGGAAAGTTGCAGGAGGCTCACAATTGTGGTGTTTTCTCAAGAAACCTGTCCCTCTGAGAGCGGTGGCTGTTTGTGGATCCTTCTAAGGGGACGGCCTTCATATCTAGGCCCTTGCTGGCTTCGTTTTCTTTCCCTCTGCTGCTTGGATAAATGAGATTTCTCAGCTGGCTGAGAAGTGATGAGAAGGGGTCCTGCTGATATAGAGGGAGCGCCGAGTGCGATCGTGACCTTGTCCTTCTCTTTAAATTCTCTAGGCGGCATGCAGGATTACAACTACATCTGGGAGAACTGCTTCGAGGTAACCTTCGAGCTCTCCTGCTGCAAATACCCCCCCGCTTCGCAGCTTCAGCAGGAGTGGGAGAATAACCGGGAATCTCTCCTCACCTTCATCGAACAAGTAAGATCCTTTTGATCAAGGCTGTAGAAACTCCTCCAGGCTGGGGGTCCCTGAGAAGCATCTGGGAGCTGAACTCAGAAGGGTGTCTCAGCTTTCAGAGAGACTTTGCAGCCTTGTAGAATGGGTGGAAAATCAAACAACATGCAGAAAGGGGGAAGGGGACTGGGGCCTGGGGAAGGGGGGGGGGTGATATGGGAACCTGGCAAGGTGGAATTTGGCCTCTTGGGCTTGCGGTTTCGTTCTGACCCTTGTAGCTCTGACAGGGCAGCAGTGAGACTGAGACTGTGTCATGGTGCTTGCTGCCCTCAGTTACTGGTGTTGGAAGGTGGGGGTCCCATATTTTGGGGTGTTCCCCCTTTTCATACAGGTTTTGGGCATGCCTCGTATTTGCCAGAAGATCAACCGCTCCTCTAGTGCTTCTGACTCAAAAGGTGGATCGAGTTTTTAAAAACATTCTGATGAGTTTTTTAAAAGAAAATAAATTGCAACAGATCCAAATTTTGAGGTGATGAATAACAAATGAGATAAGCTGATCTGTGACCATGACCTGTAACCTTTTGTGTAACATATAGCAAGGAGGAAATTTCACTGACGCAAAACACTTTTTTTTTTTGGTACTACTCACAAAGCTAATCTTTATTCTAAAAGGAGGAAAAAGACGTAAGCAAGCCACGTTAGGTAGCTAAACCCAGGACACCGCTCCGAATCTCCTCGGGCGAGTGTCCTTTTTCTTCCACCTGGCAATTGCACCGTTCTCCTCCCGGCTGCAATACAGGGACAGACTTCCCTTTTGCACAATCCACGTATTCTGGAGAAAAGAGGCATCACTTGTCTAGTACTCCCATTATTTACCAGCCTTAATTCGGCGTCCATTTCGAGAGAGCTGGCTCAGCAAAAGCGATGCACAGAAACCGACTCAGCCCTCCAGCACTGAGTGGCAATCTCCTGCAGTCGCCCTCTACAAGCCGGATGAAAAGTGCCTTCTGCCGTTACCAGACGCCGTTTCCCCTCATATCCCTTTCGCCCTGCAAGGTTGGACGGCAGCCTCGGGGTGGGCATTGTGGGGCAGCTGCCGGCCCTTGAATGCAGGAAAGGAAAGGGGAAAGCTGCAGACATCGTAAACTATTCTGCGGCAGTGTCTCACATTCCCGGCAGGCCCCAAAGCCTGTTGCAGATGCTGTTGCTGTCTGTCCCGCTGCAGATTGTGCGACTCGGGCAGTTGAGCGCAACTCAGAAAAACACAAGAGTGCTTTTGAATTGGATACCAGCCTCAGGTTGCGTCTCCCATCGGCAGAGCTCCCCTCAACAGCCCTTGAAGCAGGCCAGGTTGGGAGCCAGTGGCTGGCCTGAAGGCCACGCTGGCTTAGGATGATGGAAGCGGTGGTCCTTCCAATCTGGGGGCAGCCGGCCGGGAAGGCCACGTTGGGTAGGCCCCTGTCAGTTTCATTTCTGTGCCCTTCTTGTAAAGGGCCGTGTGCCTGCAAGATTAGCAGCACAGCATCTCACTTTCTTGGGGCAGCTGATAAAAGAGGTTTGCCAGAAACGCCTACTGTGAAGTCAGCTTACTGCTTCGAGGGGAAGATTCAGCCGTGGAGGTGGCGAGGCAAAGAACCGAGCTGCTCTTTGGGAAGCACCTGCCTGTCCTTTAATTCCCGTTTCGCTCCGTGCAGGTTCATATTGGGGTCAGAGGATTTGTGCAGGATTCCGTCACGGGGGCCGGCTTGGAGAACGCAACGATCGTCGTGGCAGGCATCGCCCACAACATCACAACCGGCCGGTTCGGCGACTATTATAGGCTGCTGCTGCCGGGAACCTACAACATCACAGCCGCTGCCACGGGGTAAAGCCTGGGCACGGGCGCAGACGTGACCTTTCTCTCGGCCCTTGGCAGGCCGCCCCCGTGGCTCCTTCCTCGAGACAGTCGGAGCCATTCTCGCTGCTTTGGCTCCCTTTGCCGAGAAGGACGAAGCCGCTGCCAGGTGCCTGCACGGCTTGTGCAAGCACGGGCATGAGGCGGGACAGGGAGCGGGGCCCGTTCGGTTCCGTGAGCATCACGCACTTGCGCTCGCTTGTTAAGGAAGTGGCGAAGGCTGGCTCAGAACAGCCTTTGGCCGGCCGGGAAGCCGTTCCGGCCATGCAGCCTGGGAAGGGCTTTGGACCAGAGCAGACGAGAAGCCCGCAGCGTGGCCTCTTGGAGCCTCAGTCCCCCTTCTGTGGAATGGGAACAATTCTGAAAACGAATGAGAGAAAATCGCTGCTTATGTGACTAAATGGCAAACCACGCGCTGCCAAGTCCAGCGCTGCCCAGTTCACCCCGTCGCTCCTCAGTGTGTGTGTGTTGAGGCAGTAAAGGTGTTAATGGTTGGAGTGGGGACATCCTTACTCAGGTGCTCAGGTGATGCTGGAAAGGTTTTCCAGGTGGGGTCAGTGGAAATCTGCCGTTTGTTTGTTTGTTTGTTTGGAACACTTATATGCCGCCCCATTCGCAAAAGCCTCAAGGCGGCTTCCAATACAAATAAATAGCTATACACACACATTAACATCTGGAGGCATCCCAGCATAAATATAAAATCAATAAATAAATTCAACAATTAAAATGATGTTTAAATAAAAAGGTCTTGGCCTGGCGCCGAAAAACAAATAACGGCGGCGCCAGGCGGACCTCTCTGGGGAGCGCATTCCATAAGTGCATTCCACGTTTTCAAAACAGTTCGGTCTGTGCACGCAAGACAGCATGATTCAGATAGCCTTTATTCATTCATTCATTTTTATTTAAAATATTTTTACCCCAGAAGTACTGAGTATTCTCTTAGAGCAAGCTGAGTATTTCAGATTGAAGGCAGGGCCTCGCCTTTGTTTCCCCCGGCAGCTACCAGCTGGCCACGGCAGAGAACGTCGAGGTGAAAGAAGGGAACGCCACGGCGGTGGACTTCGCGCTGCAGCCCACCGTGCCGGTGCCGGCGTCCAGCCCAACCCAGCAGGCACCCGTGGCGGCCACGGACCCTGTCGCCAATGCCACAAACGGGACCACCGCAGATGGACTGTCTCCTGCCCACCAGGTGATCCAGCCGGAGGATTTTCGCCATCACCACTTCCCCGACATGGGGATCTTCCTGCGGAAGTACGCCACCGAATACCCAAATATCGCTCGTCTCTACTCAGTAGGCAAATCAGTGGAGCAGAGAGAACTGTACGCAATGGAAATCTCGGATAATCCGGGCATTCACGAAGCAGGTACCTTCTGACGCCCTCCTGCTGTGGGGCATGTGACTCCGAGGATGCTCCAGAGCCAGAGGACCAGCGGGACCTCCAGTGGGGGTCCCTCTCGGGGGGGGGGCAGGCACCGGAGAACAGGTGGCCTAAGTGCGTCCGCGGCCGAGACGCTCGTCTCTGTCTGCAGCTATAACCACGGGCATTTCCCTCGGCTGCGTTTTTAATACAGTGCAGCTGAGGTGGCAAACGCCAGCCGGCTTATTTGGTCGCCCTAGCCAGGAAGCCCTATAGGCAGCATTCCCGGGACACCTGTTAACACCTGGGGATGTAAAGCTCAGGTGCAAGCCCTGCCTTCTTAGCCTTTTGACCGTCGCTCCTTGTTCATGTTCCATTTTTCTAAAAACACACTTCAGTGTCAGGCACTCAGCTAAAGATACCTTGTAGTACTTTCCACTCCCTTTCCTTTCAGTGCCTGGGGTGGCCCCAGGTATTTATTTACTTGTTTCCTTATTAAAAGCTTTCCTATCCCATCCCCTATGGAATGTCTCGCGACGGCTTACGATAAATAAGTAATCGTTCTTGTTCCCGGCTCTCTCTTTTGCCACCTCGGCCATTTTCAGTGGCACCCTCGAGCTTGTTGTCAAGGGTAAACGATGCCCTGTAAGAAGCCCCGGGTGCGTGGCTTCCCGGGCCCGACTGCCGGTTGCCAAATTCTCCAGAAATAGTTCAGCTAAGATTTCTACCTGCTGCCAGTGGAAGGACCGGCCGAAGCGCCGTGAAACGCTTTCCTTCCCACCCTGTGCGCTCGCGCTCTTGGACCTGCAAGCGGCTCAGCCTCGTCCGAGAGGGCTTGGCCGGACGCCGTGATTTTTCTCCCTTCGCTTCCTCATCCAGGGGAGCCGGAGTTCAAGTATGTAGCGAACATGCACGGCAACGAAGTGGTGGGCCGGGAGCTGCTGCTCAACCTCATCGAGTACCTCTGCAAGAACTACGGCACCGACCCCGAAGTAACCGACTTGGTCCAAACGACGCGGATCCACATCATGCCGTCGATGAACCCGGATGGCTATGAGCGGTCCCTGGAAGGTAGCGCCAGCTCTTCCGCTTGCGCTCGTGAGGCGGCCGTGCGTGTCCGGACGGAAGGGGGTAGCTGGCCGGGGAAGACGGGGGCTCGCGCCCCGAGCGGCTCAGCCTCTGGCCCCGCCGCTGCAGCGTTTCCCGTTCGCTAGCGCGTGGCTGGCTGCAGGCCTCTGGCGGGAGAGACAGCCTGAGGCTCCGAGCCTGGGTTAGCGGAGGCCAGGGCCCCAGAGGGGCCGAGCGCGGCTGTGAGGAACAGCGGGCCTCTCCAAGGGAGAGGTAGGGGGAGCCAGGGCCTTCCGTGGTGGGGGGCCTGGAAGTATTTCGGCTGGAGCACTCGGTCCATGCCCTGTGGTAACCGCAGAACGTCTGCTGCGCAGCACGTCTGCAGCCAGAAGCTTCGTCCGGCAAGGTGACCACGTGGCCCTGAGCAGCGGCCTTGATTCCGCCTTTCTGATCCAAGGCTGAGGGTCTGCGGTTTCTAATGGCTCCTTCCGGAGATGCCCTGCCTCTCCCTCCGCCAGGAGCACTGCGGGGACAGGAGAGAGCTTTCCTGAGATGCGATCGTGAAGGACGGCATCCACATGTTTTAAATAGCTTAAATGTAGCGGGACAGGCTGTCCCGGAACCGCTGAGACAAGGGAGAACCCGCTCCAGCTTTGGCTTCTCGGTGTGCAGCTCCGGTGCCCCTCAAGTCGAGGGAGGAGGCAGCGTGGAGCAGCACCTCCCCCTTTGCCCACTTAGTCTGGGAGTGGAAATGTGCGGGGTGGGGGACATGCGGCGGTGAAGCACGGGCAGGCGGAAGCTCTACAGGCCGAGTCTCTCCTCCCAGGAGACACGCAGGGCACCGTCGGCAGAAACAACAGCAACAACTTCGACCTGAACCGCAACTTCCCCGACCAGTTCTTCCAGGGCACCGACCCGCTGCAGCCCGAGACCATCGCGGTCATGAACTGGCTGAGGACCTATCCCTTCGTGCTGTCGGCAAACTTGCACGGAGGTGAGAGGGCTGGGGACGGGCCCGTCGTGTGTGGCCGTGGCTGCAGCAATTCGTGCCCCGCAGCGGAAGGAAGCCTCCGCGGTCAGCGAGGGAGCTTTTCGGGGGCCCTTTCAGAGTTCAGAGCTCCCTTCCTTGGTGAACCGTGTGTGCTTGACGGAGACGTCTTTCCCCGGGCTGCCTCCTGGCTGTTACGGGCAAGCTCCACGCCAGCGCTGGCCAGCTGCATTCCTCTAGGAGGCGTGCCGTGGCCAGAAATCCTCTTTCGTCTCTGTTTACCTGGCCTGCTCTGGTGGATAACGTGTGCTCTCGCGAAACAAAGCAGGGTTGTTCTCCGGCTCGCCGGCAGACCGGCTTCCCTCTGTGTTAGGATCAGCTGCCCCCTGCAGATACGGCCCTGGAAAGTGGGTTTTTTTATCTCTCTCTCTCCCCCCTCCTCCACAGGCTCTCTGGTAGTTAATTACCCATACGATGACAACCGACAAGGGGTTGCCGCCTACAGTAGATCCCCCGACGACGACGTCTTCCGACAAATTGCTCTTTCCTACGCCAAGGTAAAAGCTTCCTTGGGGAATCCAGCCATGGACATCTTGGGGCCGTTCTGAGGCCGGAATTCTGCGCCATTGAGGCTGCTGTGCTTCTGCAGGGAGCCTTCAGTGCCCACAGTGACGCACGGCGTCATTGAAATACGCCCTGCCTCGCTTGGGCTGTTCGGCTGCATGTACTGGATCATCCGGGGGCGTGGTTTTGTGGATAAAGTGGGGCTCTGAAGCGAGCTTGGGTGGCTCAGCTCAGGAAAAAAGGTGTTATAGAAATGGAATGTAATAATATTTTGGGGGACCTGAACACAAGAGCTTGCCTTCATAACAACATCATACAAAGAGGGTCTCTCTTGACGCTGTGCCGTTTTGTGATCTGGCCTTCTCTCCGAGGGAAAACCAAAAGTTAAACATATTGCTGGGAAATCCAGATTTCACGGCTGGCCCTCCTTTGTTCCTTCAGGAGAACACACAGATGTTCCAGGGCCACCCGTGCGAGGACATGTACGCCGACGAGTACTTCCCCCACGGCATCACGAACGGAGCGAGCTGGTATACCGTCCCAGGTAAGGCCGTGTCGGCTCGGTTGTCTGGAAATGGCATTGTCTTGTTGCTTTTTTCCTCCAGCCAGAGTTCCAGCGCTCCGGGTCCAATACTGCCTCTCGCCACACAGGCCCCTGTCAGGCGAGCGGCTTCAGCTCTCTGTTTCGCTCTCCGTGTTTCAGGGGGCATGCAAGACTGGAACTACCTGCACACAAATTGCTTTGAGGTGACCATTGAGCTGGGCTGCGTAAAATATCCAAAGGCAGAGGAGTTGCCGAAGTATTGGGAGCAGAACCGCAGGGCCCTCCTGCAGTTCATGAAGCAGGTGAGGCTTGTGTTGCCCTCGCAGCAGGGCGGGAACCTCCCCGTGCCCCCGAGAGCAGCTTCCTCTGTCCGGCGCTGCATCGCCAGCGAGAGACGTGATTCTCTCTTGCCCCAAATCAGCCACTGTTGGCCCAAAGCACGGAAGGTCGCTTCACACATGCCTGTGGGTGGCGTGGCTAGTCTCGGCCCATCGTGCGCGCTTCCCCAGACCGAAGATGGCCCCCATGATAGGAAATGGGTCCTGGCCGGCATTTCCCTTGTTAATCTCATTAACTGGCAGGCTGCCTCTCCTCCTGTCCCCTTTTGCTGTGCCGTCTGCGAGGGAACGCGCTCGCGGATCTTAGCGTTCGCATCCGCTGCGCGTCCCTGTGCTTGCGTGGATCTTCCTAGCACGCCTCTGAAATACTCCATTCAAGCATCGCTTTTGGGATGGCTCCGTGGTTCTTCCAGGAGACCCCTGCAACCCAGCAGAGGCATCGATTCCACAGGGGTGCAGGGCCCTTATGCCTGGTTAGGATAGAGCTTTTCACCAGAAATTGGATGTAGTCTTCCTGTTTTAAATGGATAGTGTGTTTTTGTAGCTTGGGGCATGCCAGAACGCATCCAATAATAATTTATTCCAAAGCTTCTGAAGGGGAGGGATATCTCACGTTCTGCAATTGAGGGAGCGCTGAGAAGGGAAAACGGCCTCGGACCAACACAGGCTCTTTATTCCTACAGATTTGTGAACGGGAGCGCAAAGACCAACTGCACGTTGCTTAGTGTCCCTCTTCTCTCCTAGGTTCACAGAGGCGTCAAAGGCTTTGTGCTGGACGCCAAAGATGGACGGGGCATCTTAAACGCAACGATCAGCGTCGCCAACCTGGACCATCACGTCGCCACCTACAAGAGCGGAGACTATTGGCGCCTGTTGACCCCAGGGACCTACAAAGTTACCGCTTCCGCGCGAGGGTGAGTTTCGTGACGTTTCCTGTCTTTCATTCTCTGCCTGGAGCTTTTTTCCGAGGCTGGTTAAAATGAAAGTAGCTCTCCTCCTCAGAGAGGTAAGGTCACCTGCTTTGTCACGCGCAGGACAGTGTTTGCCCTGCCACCTCCTGACCTTAGCCAGAAAGCAAGCTCACCAGCCTCTCTGCACTTTCTGTGCTCTGCAGCCACTTTTCAAAAAATTTGGGAGCTGTAAGGTGGAAGAGATGTGGAGCGTGGTCTTTGATAGGAGACCCGGTCACTTTACATCCTGCCCAAAGAAGAGCCCTGCAAAACCGGAATATTTCTCCCATCCCAAACTGATCCATGCATACAGAAAATATGGGCCCTGATATGGACTCGGGCCATCCTGTTGCGACCTGCGGTTTGTCGTCTTTTCCTCTGGAGCCGCCTTCCCTGGTCTCGCCTCCTTCAGCTTTGCTGGATCACAATTGCCAGCGTCCTCTGGCATCCCAGGCCCATCCTGCCCACTCTTCGCGGCCTCTCAGGCCACGAGGGGAGCCGGTCATCCCCTGTGGCTGGCCCCTCCAGCCCGCTTCTGGTACCAGAGGCCTGCAAGGGCTCTCGTCTTGCTCTCCAGCCTAGTTTCTCTTCCGCACAGTGCAGGGGAACGTCCTTCCGTTCAGTCCCCTTAGCTCGGTGTCGTCACTGCCAGGGAGTTTTCGCTTCTGGTAATAGCAACTTCCAGCGGCTTCTCCAAAATGATCATATTCTGCCGGATTAAAAAGTTCTCTGCACAGTGCAATGTTGAAACTCATCCTGAGCTTCTGTGGGTGAAAAATCCAGATAAATAGCTGGGGACCGGTATGGCAGCAGCCGATCGAATTCCTTGGCAGGCAGAGGGTTGTTTTTGCCCAAAGCTTTTAGAATGTGGTGACTTCTTTTTATTGCCTTAATGAAGAATAGCCGGATTATATCTTGCAGCACCATCTGCTGGCTGCATCGTAGTTCATAAATTCGCTTCCAGGCACATCAGAGCGATTCTGTTAAGAGCATTGTGGGAAATATTGCGTGCACTAAAAAAGAACAAATGTAGGCAGCCGCTATTGTTCCCCTGTAACAGGGTGGGCAGGGGAAGCTTTTTCCTCCGGAGGAAAAAGAAAGCTCAGAGGACCAGCACAGTAGCCCGCAGACTCACATGTCTCCCCCTTGTCTTTGGAAGGTATAATTCAGAAACAAAGACAGTGGACGTTGGTGATAAACTTGCTGTTCAGGTCAACTTTACTTTGACTCGGAAAGACACCAAAGTCGAGGAGGGGACAGTGCCAGATCTCAGTATGGCGGACACTGACGGCCCTGTCACCAAGGACTTCGAAGCCCTGATCAAAGACCTCTCGGCCGAGAACGGCTTGGAGCGCCTGCTGCTGACGTCCTGGGCCGACGTCCAGCCTTCCCGTTACCGCCCCTACAACGACCTCTCCATGTTTCTCAGAGGCCTGAATCTCAACTACCCGCAGATCACAAACCTCTCCAGGTGGGTGGCGCCGGCCGCTTACGGTGGGCTTTGCTGGGGACGAAGCATGCAGTGTTCCAGCGCTGAGAGAAATACCAGGAGAACGTTTGTCTCTGTGTGTGTCTGAACGTGCCGCAGCCACACGTTCCAGGCAACTGCAGCTTTTCTTACCTTCCGGTGCTATTTTTGCTTGTGCAAAGTGTGAGCAGTGAGTTACGCGGGGTGCTGAGGCTCCGGAACCGTTTCCCGGCCCCCTTCCCCAACCTGGTGCCCTCCAGATGTGCGGGGTTGCCCCTTCGGCATCCCCCAGCCGGGGCAGGCCTGTGCGCGCAGCTGAGTTCCCCAGACCTCCTCAGGTTCCGACTTGCGCAGCTGTGCGGAGGCAGGGCGACAGCAGCCGCTTCGGTTAAAAATCCAGCCTGCAGCTTTTCAGGCCTCTCCTGTTCTTGGCAGCTTGGGCCAAAGCCGTGAGTTCCGTCACATCTGGTCCCTGGAAATCTCCAACAAACCCAACCGATCGGAGCCAGAGGAACCGAAAATCCGCTTCGTTGCCGGCATTCACGGCAATGCCCCGGTGGGCACGGAATTGCTCTTGGCGCTGGCCGAATTCCTCTGTATGAACTACAAAAAGAACCCGGCGATTACGAAGGTAGGCCGTCGGCTCGCTTGGCTGTCTGCGCGGAGACCAGGGTGGGCCGTGCCTGACCTACCAAGCGTGGTGCTTCATGCGGGGTATCGCGGCCTTGTCTGGGTCGCACCTGGAAGGGGATGTTTCGGACAGCCGTGGGGAGCAGAAGGCTCAGCTCAGAGATGCTGTGTGGAAAGGATGCTGAGCTTCACTCCCCGGCCTCTGCTACTGGGCGCCATGGGAGACTCCTGAAGTATTAGGCAGCCCCACAAAACCTTGGAAAGACCAACACGGGATAAAGGAACGTACATTCAGTGCTCTGAATGCAATGGTCATGCTGCGGACCACGTCAGGGATGGTTGATCCGCTTGGGCGCGTCGCTGGGAGAACAGTCTTCCCGGCACTTGTGGAAGCTCCCCACGCTCCTTCCCCGCCCCTTAAGCTGCGAGGATGCCGAGGGCAGTTGGGCGGGCAGCGCTCCTCTTTCCCCGGAGGAGGGCAGTCTTGTGCGGATTGCTCCCACCTTGCTTTTTGCAAAACCGTCCTGCGCACGCCTCCGTGTCTTGGGAAGAGGCCCTCCCGGTCCCGGGTCTTCCTTGCTCCTGAGAGCAGGGCTTGGTAGGGCCTGTTTTCCTCCCTGGCCGCCTTGGAATTAAAAGGACAGGCTGACGCTTGACAGAACGCTTTCTCTCGCGTTGCTTTGCATGTTCGCAGCTGATTGACAAGACCAGAATTGTGATCGTCCCTTCCCTGAATCCAGACGGGCGCGAGATCGCTCAGGAGGGCGACTGCACCTCCAAGATCGGCCTGACCAATGCCAACGGCAAAGATTTGGACACAGAATTTACAAGTAAACCAGGCCAGCCGCCGCCTCTCGGTGCCACGCGCATCCGCTTGTCCAAAGCCCGGGGGGGCGGGGAGGGGGTGTCGGTTTCAGGCATTTGCTTTTGCGTGTTGTGCTCGGTTGCCCGCCGTGCTTTGTTTTGTGGCTGAAAAGCGCCATCGGGACGGGAGGTGCTCAGGTGCTGCAGCGGCATCTCTGCAGAACTAGCCTGTTCACGTGGTGTGCGGAGAAGGCCGTGCCCGTTGCTGACCGGTACGGCACCCAGGCAAAGCTTGTGTGGGTTGTATGTCTGGACCGGCGATGTGACCTCCGCGACTCTTCCGCCAGGCAATTCCTCTGGGTCACGAGAGCCCGAAACGAAGGCCATCATGGAGAACCTGATGCAGAAGCAAGACTTCACGCTCTCCGTTGCCTTGGACGGAGGGTCCCTGCTTGTGACGTACCCCTACGACAGGCCCGTGCAGACAGGTATGGACGCGTTGCCTTCAGAGCCCCCCGCGCACCGCTGGAGGGACGGGCTTCCCTTTGGGGAGGAGCCGATCGTTCACTGGTTCTGGGCCTCCCACGGCCGGCTCCTGCCACGAGCCGCCTGCGGAGAATCGCGAGGCGCTGCTTTCTCGCCGGGCACTCTCCCTTGGCGCAGTTCCCTGGGCCATGCCCCGTGCTCTTCTCGGCTGCCCTCACAATCTCCTGCTTTCTCACAGTGGAGAACAAAGAGACGCTGAGACACTTGGCCTCCCTGTATGCGAACAGCCACCCCACGATGCACCTGGGGCAGCCGAACTGCCCCAACAGGTCAGGTACGTGCCCGCGGGGTCCCGGGCTGCTCGGAGGCCAGCCGGCGACTTGCGAGCGCCTTCTGACCCCTGCCTCTTCTCTGCAGACGAGAACATCCCTGGAGGCGTGTTGCTAGGAGCCGAATGGCACAGCCACCTGGGCAGCATGAAGGTATGCGGGGGTTCTGGGCTCTGGGGCTCGGCGCTGCTAGCCAGCGGAAATCAGGGTTGCCCCGATCCTTGGCTGGCAGCGGCTTCTCGCTCCGGTGCAGCCTCGTCCCCAGCGCAACCCTCCTCTTGCTTTTCTGGATCCTCAGGATTTCAGTGTTATGTACGGACACTGCCCCGAGATCACAGTCTACACGGGGTGTTGCTACTTCCCCAGCGCTGGACAGCTGCATACGTTGTGGCTGGAGAATAAGAAATCGCTGCTCAGCATGCTAGTGGAGGTATGTCGCGAGAGACGCGGGCCGGGCTTGAAACTCGCCCAAGCTTTTGCTGGCAGCTACTGGGAGTGGGATGAGGGCTAAGTTAGATTCAAGCGTCGGATTTCATGCGGCTGCAGCTGCGGGGACACGGCAAGTAAAGTTTGCTTTTTGGGCAAAAAGACCCCGGCTGATTTTTCCTTGGTTTGCGTAACCTCCTGAGGTTTAGGGTTAGGAGATTACAAGTCAGGTTATAAACAATCTTGAGTCCATGGAGGTAGAAGAACAAACCAGTGTAACAGTGGGAACATAGATTTAGGTCTTGCTTCACAGTTGCACGCATACCTCTGGTTCTGTAGGTGAGCTTTGGTTTATCCCAAGTGCACCCAAAGTTCTGAGGGCACTGGGCACGCCTGAGGTTCCTGGACTGGTGGGCACTCTCACAAAATGGCTGCCATGACGGGGGCTTAGCCATTCCTAAAACGGCTGCCAGCACAAACACTCATCTCCCAGCAGGCAAATTGGTGCGCGTTCAGGAAGAGCAATCGGGCCAAGAACTGAAGTGCTGAGCTCTTCATAGCGCGCTTGCAAATAATTCTGCTGGATCATTGATTTGCTTCACTTTACTGCTAAAGTACCAACAGCTGCTTAGGGAGGAACTGACCTACATGGACAGCCAGGAAAACGCTGCTCTCCCAGAGGAATCGCACAGTATTCCTCATGCAGCAGGTCGCACGGAACAGCTCTCGATTTTCAGTTAGCTGCGATATTGTCGTCGTTACGGAAGGATCCCTGTGTTTTTGGCGGCTGTAGCTGCTCTCCCTACTCTGCAGTTGCCATTCAAGGAACAGGTGGAAAGAGCCTCACGCTTCCTCCTCGGCCTTCCCGTGCCCCTCCGTGCAAAACCTGCCGAGCAGGTTTGAGGCCTATTAATTTTTCCCCAGAACGAAGCAAGAATGAACTCCGAGTGCCGGACACAAAGCAGACATTTGCACCCGGACGAAAGGGTTGCCGGAGCGTAGCAGGTTGCTCTGAGGGACGCTTGGCTCTCACCCAACCTTAAAATAACATTTTAGGAAAAGATGCAGTGCAACCGAACTCAATGCAAGATCAGGAGAGGAAGGGGTCCCAGTGAGTGTTGCGGGCAGCACGTTGGAGAACCGGGGCCTCCCTCCGCTGGGGGAAGGAGCGCTCCCACCTCGGGGGGTTCTGCTGACGGGCGCCGCCTCCATCTCTGCAGGTCCACAAGGGCGTCTACGGGTACGTCCGGGACAGACACGGCCGGCCAGTGGCCAAGGCGCAGATCGTGCTGAACGACGGCGTGCGTGTCTGCACCAAGGAGGGGGGCTATTTCCACGTCCTGCTGGCCCCGGGCTACCACAAGATCCACGCCATCGCCGAGGGCTACCAGCAGCAGCACGTCCAGGTGCGGGGCAGGGCCGGCCAGCCCCTCCCCCCTCCCCCCCTCCCTGGGCTGGGGGGCTTCGGCCCGGGGGGAGCCGGCCCTCAGCTGGGGGGCATGTCGCATGGGAGGCTGCCGGGGAGCCGGGCCCCGGCGGCTGCGTGGCACAGGCCAGGTGAGGGGCCTCGGATACAACGTGGGGCTGTGGAGTGGCGGCTGGCAAGACGTGGGGCTGGAGGAGAGCCCCCTTCCCTTCCCTTCCCTTCCCTTCCCTTCCCTTCCCTTCCCTTCCCTTCCCTTCCCCTCTCCCACCCCCCAGTGACCCTCTCCCAAGACCCTCCCTCTCCCACGTCTCCGCTTAGGCCCAGGCTGGAGCTCGGGGCCCTTTCTCCTCTTTTCCAAAGTCAGCACGTCGTTCCTCTTCATTATTTTCCTGGGAACCTGAGATCCTGCCACGCACGTGTCCCCCCATCCGCCCGCTTGCTCGCTGAAGTACACCCCGCTCTTTTTCCAGGTCCTGGTTCGGGACGAGATGGCCAGCTTTCTGCACATCCAGTTTGACGTAGACAACAAGATCTTCGGGCTCCCGAGAGAATTGGTGGTAACCGTGGCAGGTAAAAACGATCCGGCGGTTTCCTCTTGGGTGGTGCGTGCGGGCCGTGGGGGGGGCTTCGTTGGAGGAGCTTCCCCGAAGGCAAGGCGGGTGAGAACAACTCGCCAAGGCCTCCAGCCCTCCTCTCCTCCTGCGCCCTCCGTGTATGCTCTATTTTGCATCCCGCGTGCCTCGCTGGCAGCGAAGAAGGGAAAGATCGGTGTAAATAGAATCGCTGTGTATTCCGAACGCTTTTAATGGATGCAGACTTAAGTGGGAGGGAGGGTGTCCACCCGGCGGCAGGTGTGGGAATGAAGGCTGCCCACCCCAGACACCGAGGCCCTTGGTTGAGAAGAGGAAGTGGTGGGGGGGCGTGGGGCGTGCGGGAGCCGACGGGGCAGCCGACGTCCCGTGTCGGTCGCCCAGAGGATGCCCTGGGTGTGGTGACGGAGCGGGCCTGCCCCTTTCCGCCCCGTCCAGGAGCAACCATGTCCGCGCTGATCCTGATGGCCTGCATCACCTGGTGCGTGTGCTCCATCAAGTCCAACCGGCACAAGGACGGCTTCCACCGCCTCCGGCAGCACCACGACGACTACGAGGACGAGATCCGCATGATGTCCACGGGCTCCAAGAAGTCCCTCCTGAGCCACGAGTTCCAGGACGAGACGGACACCGAGGAGGAGACACTGTACTCCAGCAAGCACTGACCCTCCCGGCAAAGGCAGGTCCGGCAAGACGGCACTCATTTCCCGGGCGGCGGCCCCCGGGCCTCTGGCTCTTTGCCCTGCCCTGGCACGCCACACTTCTGGCCACGCGGCTGGCCAGGCCACGGACCGAGAAGCTCCCTGGAGCCAAGAGGCAGCCAGAGACATCTCCCCTTCTTGGGCTCTTGTTTCCTCAGACCTTTTTGACACTCTTCAGTTCATGCAATTAATTGGGGAAAGACACTGTAGCTTTCCGAGGTTTTGTCTAAGCTGCTGCCGCAGCAGCGTCCAGATGGGTTTTGGAACCGGGTTCAGTTCTGCCTGGAGCAGCTTCACTGGTTCATTGTACGAGAGTTTGAAAATGATGGTCTTTCTCCCCCTGTGGGGAAATTAAGCTCCCGCTTCGGCTGAGAATGACTTCAGGTCGGGTGGTTTTGGCAGATGGCTTTACTGTTACCTGTGTGATAAAACCAGCACGGCAGGAGGGTGAATTGGGACGTGAGGATCTTTTTCTCCCTCCAGCAGAGGCTGTGGTTTTTGGGGGAAAAAATAATAAAATGTTCTCGTTGAATTCTCTTGCACTGGCCCTGCTTCAGAATTTCTGCTATTTCTCTCTGAGAATGTAGAATAGCAAGAGATGAGCTTCTGTACTTAAAAATCCAAGTAACTTTTGAGCAGATTTACGCTAGCTGGATACCAAATTTCCAGTGTGATGCCAAGCTGCCTTTTCGCAGTTCTGTTGTGGACCGAGCCCTGTTCAGACGGACTGTCTGCCAGCTCACCTAACTGTAGCTGTAGGCCAGAAAAATACTTTTAATCTTTCCTCCTCAAAAAAGCAACTCTCTTGTTTCGAAAGTTCACCAGACCTGTTTCGGGAGAAAACTTGCTCTGTCGTTCCGTTCCAGTACCACGCCTGTTACAAGTTCAGTGCCCGTCTCTGCTCTTCTGCTGAACCCGGATTTTGTAAGAAATTCTGCTGCTCGTTTGCTCGTTTGCCAAGCCTCTGTTTCCACCCCAAGCTGTGTCGTGATCTTCTCCTGTGGGGCACTGCTGTGGTTTGCCGTTCCTTGTGGTCGGGCCCTGGGGTCTCCAGTCGGGTGCCGGCAGGCCGATTGCGTGCGAAGCAATGGGCCACCCTCCGGCACCATGTTTTTTGGGGTTCAGAAGAGAGGTTTTCTCTCTTGGAGCCTGTTCCCCGCCTGGTGCTTCAGTTCTTGGGCAATTCACTCTCCTTCCGGCCTCACTAGCTGGCCTTCTGGGAAGCGAGTGCTTTATGGCCAGCCGGTGGTTATATGAATTATCTCTGCCCCAGCCACCCCTGGCAGCCGTCCTGTGCGAGTGCCCACGACACCCAGGTTTCCAGGATGCCCACCGACCCCGGAAGGGTGGAGAGACTCTCGCCTTTTTCCCCCAAGCACTTTGGTTTGAAATTAAATAGGGATGTGCGAGAAGCAAAGCCGTTCCCCGAGGCCTGTGGCGGGCCTGCGACCTGCCCTGGAGACACTCGCCCTCCTCTCGGTACATCGGATGTGTCCGCTTTTGAAGCGCTTCTGTTTCTAGGCCTCAGCACTGAGAAGGGCATTGACAGCGAGCATTCAGTTGGATGAATGCTCGTTAGCGGTTGAACGACGAGGCCGATGAGTGACGGAAGGGTGGAGGATGGGTTCTGGCAAGGAAGGAACTGTACGAATTGGTCCGGGTGCTGCCAGGCCAGAACGGAGGCTGGGCCCTCTTGCATGGCCATTTTTCAGATGCATTGGGGCGGTGGGCACTTGCTCTCCTCGAGCAGGGAAGGTGCCTGCCAAGGAGCAAGGCCCGAAGGGCCTATCGGATACTGGAGGAAGCGTGTCCAAGGGCCTCGTCTTTTACATGCTGCCGGCTTCCCTTTCTGCCCCTCGCAGCTTTTAGGACAAAATCAAGCCCTTTTAAGATGAGCGTCCAGTCCTAGAACGTGCCACTCGTGGGAATTCAGTGACACGCTCTGATAGCGTCCCAACGGAGTTCTTCGAATCCTCGAAGCAAATGCTTTACAGCGCCTTGTTAATTTTTTTAAAAGACCATCCAAAGTGGCTAGGGAGCTCCCAAAGAGCCCAGTTCAGGTTCTGTGGATGCCATTTAAAATATTCCTAACCTGTTTGATGCCTGCAGGCAGTTAGGGAGCAAAAATGGTCCCTGGACCTCACACAGGATGATGGGAATTGTGGTTCAGCATATTGGGAAGGATCCAGGCTGTGGGGGAGGCCGCTTTTGAGTTTGAACGGCCTTCTGAGCGGAGTTTTCTAACTTGGAATATATTCTGGTCTCTCCCATCCTCCAGGACAGCCTTCCCTGAACTGGTTCCATCCAAATATATGTTCTACCACCTCCTGCCGTTCCTGACTATTCTGGGTGGGGCTGATGGGAGCAGAAATCCAAAACATTTGGAGAGCACCAGGCTGGTGAAAGTTGAGTCGGGAGGGAGAGCAGGAGGAAACCCAAGTGCCTGAAGCCCACCGAAAACCTAGAGTTGGGTAACCTGGTACCTTCTGCATGTGGCTAGCTAAACTCTGGGAATGCTTGAACAAGCGGCATGTGAGCTGCAGGCCTGGTCGAGTTTTCGAAACATCTGGAATGTATCAGGTTGTCCACGCTTGTCTTAACTTAACCATTTAACCATTCCAATAGCGTGCCCTAAGTTCTTTCCTCAATCGTGGCCTGCCTTAATGGAGCTTCAGCTTTTCCTTTTTAAAAAATATCTCCTCCACGATGAGCCGTTAAAGTTTCCTTTGGAGAAAAGTTGTGGAATGTGTCGCTAACCCATTTGGGGCGGTCGTCACACATATCGGTATTTCTGTAGTCCATGCATCCCCCTACTCGGCTATCTGAGAGGCAGTTTAAACATCCATTAAATATAACAACTCGGTCAGCAATAAGTGGCATCCGAGCATCACGCTCGCCCCCAGTCCTTCCTTTAGCTCTCGTGTGGAACCCAGCAAAGAGCCGTCACGTGCAGGCAAATTACGGTGTTTGTCTCGTACCAAATATGCAAGGTTTGTTTTTCTTTTTGCAAAAATTAAAAGGGGCAACTGACCCAGCTCTTGTGCGACACCCGATGCCTTTGAGACCCGGTGTTTGTCTTACTAACCCTCGAACAGCCTCCTGGCAGCTTGGTGGCACCAGAGGTGTCGGCCCCGACACCCAGCGTGCCCCAGGCAGGTGGTAGGGGGCAGGCAGGGCAGCACAGCTGGACCTATCTGGAGGCCGACAGGTGGGGGGGGGCCGCGCAGGAGTCACTGCTCGCTTGTCACCGTTCTTGGGTCCACGCACTGTGTGCCTTCCGAAAATGGAAATTGAGGGGCTTGACTTGGGAATGCGAACCGGCTGGAATGATTCGCAACTCGGTATCTTTCCACATCAACCAAGTCTTCTGTTCACGTGCTCTGGATTTGTTTTGTTTTTAAACATGTACACTGAATTCTAATATGTATAAAACTATTTTACGATGTCTCTCCTTCCCGTGTCGTCTTTGCTTCCTCGGCAGTAGCACAGTTTCTCTCCTGAAATGTCACTCCCTTCTTGAGATAATGTGGGAAGTGTCGTCCACCACGCTGGAAAAGGTGGCGACATTTTAAAAATGCTCTTGTGGTGGCGGATGGGGCAGAAGTCAAGTGGGTTGGGCTGCAGTCACGGCCTAGTTCACCTTTTGAAACTGTTAAAGCATTAGAAGCCTTTGCACCTTCTACAATGGGGGAAAAGTGGACAAAGGCTAGCAAACCGGCTGCAGAAGAGCGGGGTGAGGCCTTTGGGGGATCCCACAGGGCTGAATTTGGCCCCCCGTTCTTGGGATCAGCACCCCCGTCTTGCCCACTGGTTACTCCTCCTGGCGGGCAGTGGGTCTCCACGGTGGCTCTCCCCCTCCCCTTTCAGATACCTTTCCCTTCTCATCCCTTTTTAAATTGGAGATGCCGGGAACTGGTTGTGTCAGGATTCATCATTCAAGCTTCAGTACCTCTGAAATTTTTTGCAAAGGACTTTCGCCTTGCATCTATTGCCAACCAGCACCTGACTGGTTGCCGGTTTCAGTCCATTCCCTTTTCTGCCCAGCTGGAACTCTGTTAGAGTAGCCCAGTCCTGGATCAGAGGCTGGGGAACATGGGTGGGAGGGTACTGTGGGATTTCTGGGGGTGGCTGGTTGGCTTTCTGAGCACTGCCGGGGCTTCGCAGCCTTGAGTCTCTTGGACGAGAGACGATGTAATTCGATCGAATCCGATTTTATTATTATTTTGAGCCACCTTAAATGTTTTATGAGGGACAGAAAGGAAAAAGAAATATACAGAGAAAGGGAAGTTCACCCGATCCCCCACCCCTGCCCTGAACTGAATTTTAGGGCAAAGGAAGCCTCTGTGGCCGACATTTGTGCCGTAAGTTTTATCATGCTCCTTGGCTTAAGGGGGTTGCCTGCAAATCGACCCCGGTGGGCTCTGCAGGAGAGCATCACTTACGGGAACGCAATGGATGGGATTAATAAAGGAAAGGAGGCAGGCGACGCCAGGGAGCTGGGGCTGCCGGTTGGCACGGCGTCCGAATAAAGGGGCTCGGGCCCACTTGGTCTCCGGCGCTTCCACAAACACGGGCGCGTAACCATCCGCGTGGGAACCGCACCGGGCGCGCCGCCAGGCGGCCAAAGGCCCAGCGCGGGGCCGCGACGCGCGCCCGGCCTCGAGGGGGCGCTGCCGCGGCCCGGAAGCGGCGCTCTGGCCTCTCCCCGAGCCGCCTCGTCTCCGCGCCGCCGGCCTCCGGGAGGGGAAGGGCGCGCGGGCGCTCTGGCCCCGCGACTCTATGGCGCCGCGCGCCGCCGGGTGACGTTGGAGCGCAGAAATGGCGGCGGCGGCGGCGGCGGCGGGCGGCGGCAGCAACTACTGGGAGGGTGAGCGGCCGGGCCGGGCGGGAGCGGCGGGCTGGGGGGCCGCCTCCGGGAGGGCAGGGCCGGGGGGCTTCCGGAGGCGTGCGACTGCGACACCCATCGTCCCCGGCCAGCGGGGCAGGCGGCGGCCTCCCGGCGTGCGGGACTGCCAGCGGGGGCCTTGCAAGGGTCGGGACCACCTCTCCCATCGTCCCCGGCCAGCGGGGCAGGCGGCGGCCTCCCAGGGTGCGGGACTGCCAGCGGGGGCCTTGCCTTGCAAGGGTCGGGACCACCTCTCCCGTCGTCCCCGGCCAGCAGCGCAGGACGTGCCGGCCCTTTCCCTCGGCGCCCTCGGGGGGGGGGGCGGCCGCCGGCCCTGGCGAGGGAGGCCCTTCCCCGTGGGGCCCCCGCCCCGGGCTGCGCCCGCTCCCCTTCCCCGCACGCGCCGCGCCCCCTTTGCGCCGCAGGCCCGGCGCTTCCTGGTCTTGCATCAGAGGAGGCCTCTGCCGGGGGCTTGGCTGGGGCCGTCCGGGGGTGTGGGGTGACCGCTGCCAGCAAGCCTCAGCCAGCCCTGGGGTCGGGGTCGGGGTCGGGGTCGGCCGGCAGAAGCAGCGGCCAGGCTGCGGAGGCTCCCTCGGCCGGCTGGTTTCGGCACCATCCCTGCTGCGCTTGGGAAGCCTCTGTGCGAGGCAGGCAAGCACATCCCTTCTCACGGGCGCCCTTTCCTTTTCCCTTTCCCTTTCCCTTGGGCAGATCTGAGGAAGCAGGCCCGGCAGCTGGAGAACGAGCTGGACCTCAAGCTGGTCTCCTTCAGCAAGCTGTGCACCAGTTACAGCCACAGCAACTCTCGGGATGCAAGGCGCGACCGGCACAGGTTGTTTGAGCTCATCTTCCTTTCCTTTCCTTTCCTTTCCTTTCCTCCTTCAAAACGTTCTGTTTTTCTCGTGTTTAATCTAGCCAATCTCGATTCCTTCTGAGATGCGTGTGTCGGCAGCCAGCTTTTCTGTTTTCACTTCACTTTCCGTTCTCAAGTCCTGAATGCAACTTGTCCTGGGAAAGCTTTCCGTGTTTCGTCCTGGGGATGCTCCTGTGGCAGGCGGGGTCTTCCCACCTTTCCCCCTGGCTGAGGGGTCGTTCTGGCTGCCTCCCGCCGCTTGAATGCTGTAGCCTGCATTGCGGTAGCCCGGTGGCACTGTTTTTCCGCAAGGGGGGAAACAGGGTAGCCCCAGAGCTGACAGCCTAGGGGTAGGAGCATGGAGGAAGCATGTCGGCCTGGTTCCCCTTCTAGACCTAGGTAACGGTGCCGGAGCGCCTTCTTCTGCATGTGGGAACCAGGGCCTGTTGCACTGGGGCACTAGCAAGTCTGGTAGGGACCTGAGCCGTCCCTTTTCCGTGGCTGCCAACTCATCCCTGGGCACCAAGGCCTCGGCGTTTGCTTCCCACGTGGGTCAGACCGAGGGTCCCTTGTGCATTTCTTTCCAGACCCAGCCCAGAAGCCGGACCTGAGCGCCGCGGCACCTTCTCACTCCCACTTCCTCTCCCCCATCGGGGGGGTGTGTTCGCAAGCTGCCCCTGCTCCTGGAGTAACAGCCACGGGGAGCCATCTTCTCCAGGAGGTGGGGAAGGCCCTTCTTGGGTGCCCTGGTTTTGGGCAATCGGCACATAAGAGCTGGCCGATGTGCGCATCAGGCACATCTGGGGAAGGGGCGCTCCCTCCAGCCAGCCGGTGCTGCCCCGTGACTTGAGCACCACCGTCTGCTTGTGGGCCAGCTGAGGAGTTTCTCATCTTTGGCCTCGGGGTGGCCCAAGCTGCTTTGTGGTGGGTGTGCCATCCCGAGCACTGTGTGTGGACTAGGCCGCCAGCTGAGCCCAATATGCTTCTTTCACAAGATCCTGTGAAAAGTACCCTTTCCTGCCACGCCAGAATATTTACAGGCAGGCTGCTTCCCTTTTGCTTGCCCCTCAGCTCTGACACTACCCCTCTCCTGAACGGATCGAGCCAAGACCGAATGTTCGAAACGATGGCCGTGGAAATCGAGCAGCTCCTGGGGAAGGTAAATAGCGCTCCGTGGGGCCAGGCCCGACCTCTGCGAAAGCTTCCACGGGAACGCCTGGTGCGCTTCGCTGGTGGAATGATCTGCATGCAACGCCTCAACGGCATTTAAAAATATTAAAAAGTGAACCTCCTACATGCTTTACCCACGACTGGCAGGTTGCTTCACAGTTTGCTGAGAGTTTTGGTCACTAAACATGAAACTAGGATGGCTCGACTTGCCATAGCAAAACCCACGTCATCTCCGTGCATCGAGGGAAGAAAAGCCGCCTTCCCCCATTTGGTGGCCTCCACAGAGGCCTGGAAGAGCAGCCCTTCTCCTCACCACCTATAAGGGAGACCCGTGCCCCTTATTGTCAATGAGGGAAGGACGGGTGGGATTCGTCCAAGGAGGGACGCCGTGACGGTGCTGCAGTGCATCTGACCCCAACGGCGGCCGGCGCTGCAGAATCGAAGTGAGCAAGGCAAGCTCACTCGCCTGAAAGCCCTTTGGGGCACAGTGCTGCACCTGTTCAGGGACAATAAAATCTGCGGGGCGTAGGAGGTGTGTAGGATTTATGAGCAGCCTCGTCGTTCGTCAGAGTGGCTGCCGTGTATTTAAGAAAGAGACCGCCTTCCCCCCTGCCTTTCTCAGTCTGTTCCTCTGCCCTTTGCTGCAGCTCACCGGGGTCAATGACAAAATGGCCGACTACGCCAACAGTGCCGGAGTCCCGTCCCTCAACGCCGCCCTGCTGCACACCTTGCAGCGGCACCGAGACATCCTGCAGGTAGGGGCCGTGGCAGGGGCTGCGCTCACGATCGCCTGGGGTGTCTTTCTGTAGCCACCCAGGGAGTGACTTTCTGCCCCTTCGTTGTCCTCTCCCAGTCCCTTCAGCTGGAGTCCTCTCTCTCACCTGCTACTCTATCCTTTGTTTCAATTCCAGTTGCTGGTAACACTGAGCCTATTGAGTGTCGTCCCTTTTTTTAAAAAAAAATCATGACACTAGTCCTCATGATTCTGAAGGGAGGGCTGATTTAAAAAGGAGCATAGGAAGCTGCTTTAAACCAAGTCAGAGCACTGGTCCATCCAGCCCAGGACTGTCTCTGTGGCCTGCAAGTGACTCTTCGAGGGGGTCTTCTCATCAGCTGATGCCCCCATCCCTTTGAAACTGGGGGTGCCAGAAATGGAGTGAGGAGCCATGGGCACAGGAGCAAGGCTCTACCACAGAGCGATCACTTCTCCCCGTGTTTTGCACAAACAGCAGTTTCTTTTTAATAATATTTTATTTTCTGAACATAAACAAAATCCAAAAAGAAGAAAAGCATATGTAAAATAAAGCAAAATAGAATAAAGTTGCCAAGGGATTTTAAACAGGTACAACTGATACAGTCAGACCTACACATTTTTCTGTCTTTCTGTCATTGAGCACTCGATGGGAGTTCAGAAGAGACTATTCTGTACACCAGAATAGTCTGCACACCAGCAAATTTTCCCGAACCGCCTCGAAAGGCGGCAGCCCTGCAGAAATCACACTGCAGAGGTCTAGCTGGGAGAGCATTGGAAGAGCTCTGCTGAATCAGGCCGGCAGTCTGCGCAATCCAGCAGCCGGCACGCCCAGGCGCATCCCAGTCCTGGAAGGAGCATGCGGCCAGCCAGACTCGTCGGCACAGCTCACCTCCTCCTCCGTGAAATTGCCCAGCCCCCTTTTCAGCCTGTCCAAACTGGTGGCCGTTGCTGCCTGTTTGAGCAGCCGGTGCCAAACTTTAGCTGTGGGTTGTGCAAAGAGATCCGTTGCTTTCTGTGTCCCGAGCGTCCACGCATCAGTCTCGCAGGAGAGGAGGCACCTGCTGGGTTTTGGTATTACACAAAAGAGACAAAAAGGCCTCTCTCTCCAGCACTCGTATACCATAATTTTATACATTTCTGTCATGTCTCCCCTTGTTCACTTCTGAGCAGGGAAAACTGGCTGCAACCCAGTCGCTGTGTCCCGTGTGACGTGCTGGTCATCTTTTCACGGGGTGCAATTGCAGCCCAATCCTGCTCACGGATCATGCACAACGGGTTGGTCTCGTCCGCCAGGGCAAAAGGAACATCGGCTCCCGATTCCGGGTTTTGAATATTTGCATTTGCCATATGTTCTTCTTGGAGTGTGGAGTTCTGCTGTGTACTCTACCGAGACTTTTTGTGATAAGGAGTTTAGAAATTATTGGCAGCAAAGTCAATAATAAAATCGAGCTGTGAGCCAGGGACTTCCGCAGGAACGCTTCAGCATGAAGCTTGAACTTTGTGCCTGCGAGGTGCCATGGGAGGCGCTTGGGCGGCCTTGGGAATGACAGCAGTGCCCAAGGCCTGCACTTCTCCCCTGGAGCTACACAGGCTGTTTCTTGTTGTTGTTTCGTGGCAGGACTACACACACGAATTCCACAAAACCAAAGCTAACTTCCTGGCCGTGCGGGAAAGAGAGAATCTGATGGGTTCAGTCCGGAAAGATATTGAGTAAGTCGACTTGCGGAGAGACTGTCTTGGGGGTGGGGGGGCAGGGGGGGCAGGGGGGTGGTTGTGAAATGCCAGATCATTTTTGTCGCTTAAAGCTCTTGCTGACCGCAGCGGCCTCGGGAGAGCCCTTTCCGCGTTTCCCAAGGGGAGCAGAGCTGCCCCAAAGCTGGGGAATCGCCAGATTATCTTATATTCTGGTCAGGTTTTTGGCCCCAGGCCTTCCCGGCACTGGAATGTCACTCTGAAGGTGACTCTGAAATCAGCTGAAAGCGATTTGGCACCAGCGGTTTAAGTATCAGCGGTTTATAAATGTGCTACTCTGCTGGCTAACCGCAATGGAACCGAGGGTCAGACAAATAGAGGGAAAATGCAGTTTGGAGCGTTAGCACGGTGAGCCCTCCGTGGTGCGACAAAGCTGGTTTTGAAGGCGAGGTGGGTCCCTGCTTTTTCGAAGAGCCTCTCAGAAGCAGCCGAGCGAGAGTGCAGCAGGGAGGGTTTGGTGTTATCAATAACACCTCGGCTGGCGGAGCGTGGAAGAGCTTGTCACGTTATCGAGGAGAGATGTGTGCCCTGGGGCCTCCCTTTCGCGGCTCCCGAGTGCTGCGGAGCCTCTCGCGCTCCCGGCAGATGGAGACGGCGGTCCTCGAGGGGCTGTGCCCGCCCTCGTGCGCGACGCTCCAGTCGCACCTCTGCCAGGCGTCTCTGGGGAGCCGTCGTGGTCGCCCTGCTGGCTTTTCCCTGCAGGTGTTTGCCCAGTCGCCAAGCAGCCCCCAGGGGCATTGGGCTTGGGGCGGGAGCAGAGTGGAAGGGGTCAGTGGAGCGGCCCTGCCCTCCGCCTTGCCTGCTGGTGGCCCCATGGGCTTGGGCTCGCCCTTGCCCGTGTCCCTTCAGCCCCCCAGTCTGCAGCGGAGGGGTCAACGCAAGACACGCGGTTCCTCGGTCAAGGCCCTCCTGCAGCCTGGGCTGTGGTGGGCAGCTTGCGTCGCCACCGACGATTCGGCCTGCAACTCCCATCATCCCTCACCACTGCCTGCGGGAGTTGCGGCCTTCCCAGTGTTTTGGCTTGGCTTCAGCTCGGCGCTGAGACACCGTCTAACAGGAGAGTGCTCCAGCCAGCCGGAGCATTGGGGCACCTGCCTCCATTGCTCCTCTTTGCCTGGCTTTCTTCTCCTTCACCTGACTTTACCTGCTGTGGCCTGACTCTACTTACCGGACGGGACTTGGCCTGCCTTAGTTTGCCCGCCAGGAAGTAAAAACGAGAGTGGGATTGCGTGCCTCCCTCCGGGCACGTTTAGGGGCTCCCGATCGTGAGCTGGCTCTGCCAGGAGGGCCTTCCTCTTGCTTTGTCTTGACCTTTTCTCCCAATTTTCCAGGTCGTATAAAAGTGGCTCCGGGGTGAACAACAGGCGGACGGAGCTGTTCCTGAAGGAGCACGAACACCTGCGGAAGTAAGTGCCTGTGGCCGGCGTGGGGTCCTTCCTCGGAGGGGCTGCCTGCTCCCGGAGCGTCCCTCCAGCGGCCGGGGACACGGCCTTTCCTGAAAAGTCTGGTCTGGGAGCCTTACCCCGGGTGCCAGGTCAAGGCGGGTTTGCTTCAACACGCTCGCTTATTTGATGTTTGCTTGCTCAGAGAAGAAGTTACACAAAGTAGGTTGCGTTAATTTTGCCTGCTGCTTAAAATATTGCGAAAAGGTTCTTTCCTCCAGTGGCTGAACGCCGTTGACCCCAGACGCTCCATTAGGGTAGTTTAAATGAAACGTGGCGTCCAGGCCATTTCAAAGCTTGGCTCGGAAATTATTTGTATTGGGTTCCTGAGGCGTGTGTGATTCAAGCGCGCACGCTTTGCGTGTCTGTTGTTCCGCTCAGGGGTGGGCTGTAAATGGGGTCCTTATGTGGGTGAGCGGCTGCGTTTTATCCAGGGTTGCCGCCTTGCAGTTTCTAAGCGATCGCCACAACCTCCTTTTTGTTATTTTATTGTCATTATACTCTCAGAATCCTGCTGCTCCAGGTGGAATCACCCAGAGGGTCTGTTGTGTCGCCATTCCGTGCCGCTGCCGAAAACAATTCCTAGGCTCAGATTATTTAATCCTAAAAATTAAATAGGATTTAATTTTGCAGCCGGCTCCATCCAGTTGATGGATCTCAGGGTTCCAGTAAAAAATCAAAGCGGATCCTGTAAGCTTGTGCTCTTATCTCAATTTAGATTCTTTTTTTTTTTTTTGGGTGGGGGGGATAAAAACATTAAAAACTGTTAGCATAATTCCTTTTTCCTGTGCACGAAGATATATCTGGTTTCTAGGTTTAATTAAACCTGCATTGCTATATAAACTTACTGAGAGTAGGAATTTGTTAAATCCATTCCATCAGCGTTGTAGATTTCCAAGCATCTTTTGCTCTGTTGTCCCCTCATTGCTTGAATTCTCCATTTCCCAAACTTCTCTTGATGTTGGGAAGGGGGCATTTGCCCGTCCTCATGCCTTAGCGCAAGGAGAAAACGCACATTTCTATCTGTCTTAAAAAAAAACTTTTCTCAGTTGCTATGGCAAAATTTGTGCACATCTGCTTAAAGTTAAAGTCTGCAAGTCCGTGTCACTTGGAAGAAGCAAGCTTGTTGCAGCTTCATAGAAATATCATTTCTTGTGGAATTTTCCAGTACATCTACCTGGAAGCTGTTCCAATTAAATCTGTAGGACATTCTGTTGGATCAGGCAGACAGAGGATTGTCCTGCAAGGTTTTGACTTGCTTTCTGGATAATCCTCGACCATTCCAGGTTGCTGACTTGACTTGTATCATGCTCATTTATTAGGTTTCTGATTAACTTTATGGAATGCTGTGTTTGAAGAGGGGGGGCAGTCTCCTAGTCCTTGGAAATATTCCAGAAAAATGATTCCAGAATAGGAGCACAAGGGGGTGCTGTTTTCCCAAGAACAGGCCGGAACAGCTATCTCTTATCCCAGTGCCAACGGTCTGTAATCGAGCGTGCCTGAAAAAGTCCATATGGGAAATTGCAATTATTTTGCCGTTGATGGTTGAGGCAGGATTGATAAAACTCAGGGAGGGGGAGAGAGAGAGTCTGAACTTCCTGCAGTTTCCTCCAGACTCCCGGCTGGCATTTGGGTGTTGCGAAGACACTTGGCTTCTGCTTGAATGGTGCGGTTGTTGCTGTGGCCGGTGGATTCTTTCTGCTTCCTTTCGGCTTCCTTCTGTAGTCCCAGGGTCGTTTCCGCTTGGAGCGGAGGGGTGCTTTTCTGGCGGGGAAGGAGAAGCGAGCTCCACGGATTTGCACTTCCCTAATGCCGTTTTAAGGCGAGGTCATAAACATCACCCCAAAAAACCTGTCATGGCTCTGAAGCAGCTAAGCTTGACTAATGCTGCCCAAGCAATTGTTGTTCATTTGTTGTCAAACGGAGATTTTTCTGCGGAAAAGTAAAGCACGGGGAAGCTTTCCCTCAAGCGTCACTCATGGGGGTAGAAATCAGCCGGACTCGTAGACCGGTCCTGCTTTCCCTCAGACGTTCCTTTTTTTAAAAAATCAGCACGAAGGGTGAGATTTTCAGAGAGTCTGCTCTTGCGTCCGGTATTGTTCATGTGTCCCGGGGCATCGTGGCAGAGTCACAGCCCTGCCTGGACGGACGTGAAAGAGCGGGGGCTTCTAGGCCTCTGACACCTCCGGCAGACACCCCGCTGAGACCACGGCCTCCCCTCGCCCCCTTCGTGCCTCCTTTGCCCCCAGATAAATTCCCCGGGGGCCACGCTCCCCTCGCGCATGGCACCGGCTGGGGGCCTGCCTTTCTCTCGAGCCTCCCTAGGAGGGCCGTGCGAGGCTGGGGGTGATGAATTTTTTAAAGAAGAGGAGATGTTTGATAGATTCACTGTCCACCCGATGACGAGGAAGGGGGCCATCCATCAGGTCTCCTCCTGCGGTTTTTGACGGGTGGCTAATTGAGGCAGCGGCTGGAGTGCGGCACTTGCTCAATCCATCTCGCTCGCCTCCCCTCCCCTCCCCTCCCCTCCCCTCCCAGGTTGATGGAAGATGAGCAGAGTTTTGCCCCTCGGTTCTGGCGAGCGAAGGCATCCCTGCGCTTGCTTTGGGCCGGAGGAGAGGCCGTTTCTCCCGCGGGCGCAGTGTCCGGGGCAGCAGGGCCTGCGGGATTTGCCCCCGCACCCTCGGGACCCCCCGGCATTTAGGAAGTGAAGCGGCCGCAGCCGCTGGGTCACGGCCAGAAAGGGGGCGATGCTCAGCTCTCGCCATGGCTCAGAGCGCTCTGGGGGCGCCCGTTCTCGCGGTGGGTGGGCCAGAGCCGAAAGCCGGGGAGGGCGCTGAAGGGGGAAGGCTCGGCCGTCGGCCGGGGCCGTGCGGCTGAGAGCTCTGTCCACGTGCCGCGGTCAGCCGGTCCCCTGCCTCAGGTTTTAAATTCGGAGAGCAGTTTGAATTGAGTCAAAAAAAGCATTGGTAGCCGGTGTGGCAGAGTGCCCGGGCGATGGGCTCCGGAGTCTTGGCCCCCGGGCACGTTCCAGTGGGTGGCATTCGAGGTCAATTGCAAATTCCTCCCCCCCCCCCCCCAAATGCCCATTCATGTGTTTCCCTGCCGGGAAAACATCATAGGGCTTCTGCTGTTCCGGCTTAGGGTGCTTTGGAGAAAAATGCCTCTTCCGGATCCTGCCCGTGTGTGGCAAGAAGGGCTGCTGGCCCCCAGGGCCTCTTCTCCCGAACGGCGTCCAGCCCAGCACAGCCTCCCTGCCGTTCTCTCCCTGCTAATACCCTTTTAGGCGAGCCGAGTGAATAATTTATCCATTTGCGTGGTTCTCTCCCGGCCCCCCCTCCCTCCGCCGTGATGAGGCTTTCTATCAAATGGAGGCCCAGGACTTGGTGATGAATGGAAGGGCTTCCGCTGCTCGGCTGCAAAGTGCTGGGCTCAGATGAGGAGCGCCTGCCAGCTCAGCCCTCAGTCTCTTTGGAGAGAGGCCTCGGAGCTTAGTCACGGGCAGCGCCAGAAGCCGCCGGATGCACGCAAGCCAGAGGGGCAGTGCGGACTGGGGGAAGAGCCGCCGGTCTAGAAGCAAAACCTCCATGTTCTGGGGCAGTGTATCTTGGAGTGCTGGTTGCTGGGGGGAGGGCAGAGATTGCGTTTGCGCCTTGTTTGAAGGCCCTTGGAGGGGAGTCATTGGCTCCTCTTCTGCCAACCGGCTCACCTGCCTGTGTGGAATTGCTGGTCGCCTGTGGCAGCCAAACAGAGCTGACGTAATTTCCATTTTTTCTCAGTGAGTTTGAAAGCAGAGCTGCTTGGCTCGCACGTCTGCATGAGAGGCGGCCTGAAAGTCTTCGGAAGGGACTGACTGGCTTGCCTGTGCCCCATGTGTGTTACCGACAGTTTGAGAAGCTAGCACCTTAAACGGTGGCATTCCCCTTCCTAATCGCCTGGGGAGGATTCATGGCTCACCACAGGTGAGCGGCTGCTGGCAAGCATGGCTGCAGGCCAGCTCTGAGTAGTCGGATGCACTGATGTTGGATGCCTCCTTCCTCAGGGCTCCTGTTTGCAGAAACAATAAAGGACCGAGGAAAGGAGCGTTTATCAAAGCGACGTTATGTAACGAGGCAGTTCAGGTCCCTGAGCAGCTTAATCGGGGGTCTGTGTGTGCAGGGCGTTGACGGAGGCTCCAGCGGTGCGACGAGCCCTCGCGGACGGGCGGGCGGACGCTGTCGCTGCCATTCATAAAGAACTGGCCTGAGAGCAGGTGGGGCTCCACGTTGGAGAGGGGGCCGGAGGGGGCTTTGTGAACGCAAACGGCGCCCGGGCTTTCTGTGCCTGCCCGCCGGTGCTTTTCATCTGGTTTTCACAGTGCAGAATTGTTCAGACAAGACGAGCTTTTGACACCTGCTTCCAGAGGGGTGGCCATGCTAGTCTATTGCGGCAAAAGCAAGGGCCCCCTCGAGTTCCCGGGCATCTCCGGAAGGATGCTGCGGCTCCCTCTTGGGCCAGCAGGACGGGGCTAGATGGAGGTTTCGCTGCCCTTCCGGCTGGCGGCTTCCCGCGCCCCTGCTCTGAGGCAGCAGCCGTTATCCCGAACCCTGAGGACCGGAATCCTACTTTGTGCGAATCAGGAGCAGGGCCGCCAAAGGCTCCCACCAGAAACTGAGGGAGCAGCTTGCCTCTCGGGGCAAAACGCCCGCTGCCCTCCGGGTGCAGCTGCCCCACGGCGCTCTCCATCCCTGAGCAACGCCCCACCCGCTGGGGCTGCTGGCACTTGTAGTCCAGTGGCCGCTGAGGCCTCCTCTCACGGAGGGCCCTCCCGTGCCCAGCGGGGCCCTGTCCCAGCTGAGCCGTACGGGTCGCCGGGGCCTGGAGGACCTCGCGGGCAGGCCATGCCTGCAGCAGATGCGAAGCAGAGGCTCTCCGGCTGGTCTGGGGCTGCAGCTCCAGGATGCCCCCCCGCCCCCATCGGCCGTGTTGGCTCAGCGGCATGGGAGCGGCAGGCCGGCGGCGTCTGGAGGGCCCTGGGCTGCCCCGCATCTTATCCTGGGGGGTCAGGACGCTGCCTGAGAATGGAGGTGGTGGAGAGGGGGGGCGAGGTGGTGCCTAATCAAGGATTCTACCGCAGTTGGGGCCTATTAGCATTTTGCTTTGCTCTCGTGAAATTCCAGGTCAACAAGAGAGGGGGTCGCGGTGTTGGGCTGCCTGCAGCTCCCACCGTCAGACGGCCCTCCTCGCTCTCACGGGCGCCGAACCTTTTCAGTTGCGGCCGTTACTCTCCTCCACCTCGGGTCGCATCCTGACGCTCCAGCCGCTTCAATCCGCCCTGAAGCTGGCTCAGGGCTTAGCTGGGCACGGGTGCCCCCTCAGCTTTTGGGATCATTCCCGGTGGCCGATGGGCTGGGCACAGCTCCCTTCCAGCTGAGCCTTTCTCTGCCTCCTGACCCAACCCAAGGCTGTGAGGACGTTGATTTTGGGGGCGGGGGTGGAGGGGGGAGCCTGCGCGGTCCATTAGCAAATTACTGGAATCTGTCCTGACAGAGGCGCTTGGTGGTAATGACTTACACTAATGCCTGCCGCTTCTTTGCCTCTCCGTTCATTTAGCCCCATTCCTTGGGGGAATTCTGCTGCAATCAGGACGGTGGGGGGGTCAGACTCTCCAGGAACTGGAGCTTGCGGGGGGGGCGGCAGGGGAGGAATCCTGCCTTGGAAGGCAGCGAGCCAGCGGGGGGGACGGAGACCTGGGGCAGGAGTGGATGGAGTCTGCGGGGTGAGGGGCAGCTCTTCCGGGCAGAGGCTGCAGGAGGTGCGGAGTCAGCCCTCGCAGTCCTGGCAGCGGGGGCCCCGCCGTACTGCCCGCTGTGAAGGCCCGGCCGGCTGGCCACGTCCCAGGCGCCCGGCCCGGCCAGGCCAGGAGGCCTCTGGGTGCGTTGTGCTCCACAAACGGCTCCAGCTTCGCTCTCCCAGCAGACTCCCCGTGTGTGTTTCGAGCTGAGCCCTGCAGCCCTGGAGTCGCCGGAGAGTCGAGTGGGCAGGGGCCGGGGGTCCAGCCCCGCTGCTCCGGGCAGGGCCCCACGTTAAAGCGCCGCTCTCGCATGGCTGCCCAGTGGTGTGTCGGAGGGCTCCAGTGTTGGGGAGCCCACCACCGCCCTCGCCCTGGGTCCCATTCCCACACTGCTCTGACAGTCTGGAAATTTTCCCGCTCCCTGCAGCCGGAGCCTGCGGTCCATTCCTGCAGTGTGGGATGATCGCGAAGGGCGCCTGGCCCTCCTCGTCGGGGCGACCCCCCCTCCCCGCCCTCGCAGTGCTGTCCTGCCCCGCTCAGACTTCCCTCGGGGCTAAGCACGCCCAGGTCTTTCCATCTCTCCTCGAGGGCTTTGTTTCCTCTGGGTCTTCCTGGCGTCCTTTGCGGCATCTCCCGGCGTGGCATGCTGGGCTCGGCAGGTCATCTGGAATCGTGTCTTTCCCAGAGTCAGGAATGGCCCCAGTCGCTTCGCATCAGAGCTCCTGGATCCAGGCCGTTCGCTCATCTCAGCAGTTTCCTTCCCTCCATCTCTCTTCAAGAAGCGTTTTAAAAAACAGCACCAACATGATTCTGTCAGCTCTCCATCTGTCTTGTCAGGCGAAAAGGGAAGAGGAGCGTGGCGCGTCTGGAGCAGATGGGGAATCGCTTTCTTCTTCGTCCTGGAGAAAAGTTCCCGCTTGCTGATACAAATCTGTGAACTGTTTTGCCGTTCCCCTCTGTTTAAAAAAAAAAAATCCAGAAGCAAAATGTGAAGGTTTTAGAAAATGGCCTGGATTCCCTCGGCTGCCACCTCTTTGTAGGTTTTAATGCCGCTTTCCCGATGTTGCTGCTAATTACTCCTGTAATTCACGTGGGGCTAATTTATTTCTCTTGATCTTAGAACAATATGCCTGCCAACTAAGGCATGTCCCTGGAGAATCACAATTCTTTGATCCACGCCTGGAAGATTTCACACACGGAGCCCCACGGTGGGCTGGCGGTGGCATCTGCAAATCTAGGTCGGACTGAAGAGGCCCTAAATTTTGTAGCCTCTTTTAAAACCGCTCTGTTTTGCCCCGGCAGATTTCACGATGGGGAACGTGCCCTGTGTGCATGGGGCGCCCTCCAGCGGTCCGGGACCTCCTCCTCCCACTGAAGCGCTGCCCCCCGGCCCCCACCGGTTCTTTGTGCGGAGTGGGCTTCCTTGGACTCATTCGATGGGCGGCCTTCACTCCCTACCCCGAGGAACGGTTCGTCCTCTGGTCCCCTCCGTTTCTGCCCCGGAGGGAGTTGGACTCAGAGCAGGGCCTCATACAGAGGGACAGCCCTGATCTTTCCCATCGGTACCACCCCTTCCTGGATTGATTCCGCCGCCGTTTCTCTTCCATGTGCCTCGGCACCGTTCCCCCAACGCCTCATAACCATCAAAAGAGCAGTCTGTTTTTTCCGCTCTGCACCGGTGGGCATCTTGCGGGGCAAAGCGTTGCGTGAGCTGCGGGGAGGGGAAGCGCTGCAACAGTTTTGTTGTTGTCTTGGGGGATGGCTGGTGTTCGGGTAACGTGGGAAAGTCTGCGTGCAAGGGAGAGATTTTGGTAAACTTTCCGACGAGCGACTTGTTCCTCTCCCCACAAACCGGATGCAGAAGCTTTCCCTGCTTTGGAGCTCCCTGGAGGAGGCAGCTCAGCTTGCGCAAAGCCTGGGGACAGGCCTGGAGAAGGGTCACCGGCCAGGAGCCGCGCCTCCGCCATCAGCCAGCTTGGCGCGGAAACTCCACTGTGCTGCAACCGCGGGGACACCTGGGATTTCCCGGTGAAACTGTCTGCACTGGGGAGATCCCACTTGCGATCCCCGAGGATCTCGCGCGGATTCCTCTCCCCGTGGGCTTGGAAGTCTCTTGCTGGTGGTGCCTCCGCAGGCCGGTCCAGGCTCTTCAGGTGGAGCTGCTCCACCCTGTGCTCGAGGCTGATTGTGTGTGTGTGTGTGTGTGTGTGTGTTTACGGCTGCCCTGTGGCAATGGCTGCGCATTTCTTCTGTCCCCCTGTTTGTTCGGATTTTCTCGTGGCCCATTCAGCTGCCACGTTGTGTTTTCATGGCCTGCAGGTCCGGCTATATCGATCTTAAACTTTTATTTCCCTTCTGCTTTCAGCTCCGACCGGCTGATAGAAGAAACGATAAGGTAAGACCCTGAGTGCTCTGTTCGTACTTGTCTCAGCCGGGGCTGCTGGGAGCTGTAGTCCAAGGCAGCGAGAGGGGGCCACGCGGAGGGGGGGCGCCTGGGCCATCCCCAGACCTGTCTGCTCCACATCAAAGCGCCCGAGACTGGGCTTTGCAGAGCACGGCCTTCTCTTCACCCGGGACTGGCGTGCCCGGCACCTGCTCGCCTGGCGCTCCGGCCACTGCGATGGAGGACGGGAATTGGCTCCCGCAAGGTCAGGCCCTCTTTCGGGAAGGCCCGTCTCCAGACAGCCCAAGCCGGCCCTCGGGGCAGAAGCCAACCCTGAGAAACCGGCAGCAGGATGCAGATGCGGTGTCAAAAAAGCACCGATCACTTAGCAGCCCTCCAGAGGTGCTGGACTGCAGCTCCCATCATCTCCACCCAGCATGGCTCGGCTCAGCTCGGCTCCCCCTGCATCTCGCCCCCCTCTGGATGTGTCCGACCGCTGTCTGCATGGCCCCGCTTGCCCAGCTGGGGCGTCCTCGCTGATGGGCTCCGGAATCCCCCACTCGGGATTCTCCTGACCTTCCCCCCCACCCCAGTTTCCTCGCATTTCCTTATTGCCGCGCAATGCAGACCCGCCACTTTGGGTGCTGGAGAGGCGGGCGGCAGGGGCAGGATTTGTCCCGGGTCATTGGTGGGGTGAGCGGAGGGGGCCTGCAGGGGGTGCTTCTTGGGCCGCCCCCCTTTGCCGCCGCAGCCCCCTTGCAAGGTGTTTGCGCCTTTGGTTTGGGAGGGAGGGGCGCAGATTCGGCCGCAAGGCACCTGGCCCTCGAGCGCCCAGTCGGCAGCAAGACGGGCGCCATAATTCCTATTTACCCGGTTCTGCCTCCTGCCTCGGCAGCCCCCCGAGACCGAGGGCCTGTTTTTGTTCTCTCCCTGCCGCCCGCCCTCTCCACTCTGTAATTGCGAGTGTGCGCTTGCGGGATTAATTGGAGGTCGGGCTGGTGCCGTGGCCCCGCTGGGGAATTTTCCCGTTCGGAATCGGTCCTCCTCGCCTCTCGCTCTTTGCTTTGCCGGCCGTGCGTCTGAGCTTTGTTCAAGGGCTCCGTCGGCGCCTCCGGTGCGCTCGCGATCCCGTGCGTTCCTGGCCCCCTGCGCATGGCGCCGGTCAGGTCCCCCTCACGCAGCCTCCGTGCGCGTCTCGCAGCTGCCCCCGCAGCCGGCCAGCGTGGCGAGGTGGCCGAAAAGCCGAGCTCCGGCAAGCGGCACCCGAGGACATTTGGCGCACTTTTCTGCTGCATCTCGGTCAGCTGTCCAGTATATCCATATCTGTAATCCAGTCCTCTGCCCGGTTCCCCCTTTTCCCCCTTCTCCATTCGCATTTTTACTTTCCCACGCATGCCGCTGTTTGCAGTGCATCCCCCAAGCTCTTCACGGACAAGCGCGAGCAGGGCCGTCCTTCAGGTCTGGCCTGTCTGGAAGGGCTTCCCAGACACCTCTCGCAGACTGCTACCAGAGACAGGCGGGGGGCTGAGAGGGACCCTCGGGGGGCCTCGTCCGGCCTCTGCTTTTCCTTGTGGGGCTGTCCCAGAGTGCACAGGCCTGTCCATCCTTTGGATGGAAGGAAGAGAGAAGACGAGCCCTTTTTGCACTGGGACGTGGTCGTCCAAATGCCCCGTGGAAGAGAGCCACGCTCTTCCCACACATTTCGAAAGTGATGCGTCTCCCGTGCCTTTCCTGGCCAAAATCATGCCTTTCCTCTCTCGCTCTTGCTCGCTCGGTCTCTCGCAACGCTCTGCCTTCCTGATGCCCCACTTCTCTTGAAATGAAGCGAACCGAACAACCGGCTGCGGCTCACGTACCGACTAAACGAAGTGGAAATTCTCGGCTCTTCTTCAGCGAGGCTCCAGGCCCACCTGGGAGCTTCACGATGCGGGGGGAGTGGGCAGGGGGACCACGCGGTGACGCTCCCTCCAAGCTTGGCGTCACCTTTGCTCATCTGCCTGGCGTCGCGTCCTGGAAAAGGGGTGGGTCCCTCCGAGCTCCTTTCGGGACGCGTTAACCCCAGATAGACCCGGGCAGCGGCGAAGGGGCCACTCTTTGCAGCGGGACACAGCCAGGGAGACTCGGCTCCCCTGCGTCCCGCTATTCGACGCCCCTTGTGCCACCCTCCCGCAAAGGCATGTCGCAGCGAGGGTTTGCACTTGGCACATAACAGCCGTTCGGTGTGGCGTCTTTGTCTGCATTTGTGTCGAAGATCATGGCACCTCATTGTTTTAATCAAATGTTTCGGCCCTCTCCAACAGTTAGTTAGATACAGACATCTAAGGGCACATTCCTATGCGCAGCTAGACAGAAAAGTCCAGTGTGGGGAATAAAGTCCAACAACTCCCAGCATGCCCCAGTTCCCAGCATGCCAGGCTTCTGCCCAAACACACACAGGAGTGTGCCTTTAATTCTGTAAAGAAATCCCATTGCAGAGTCGAGAAGGGCTCCCAAAACAACTCATAATCCCCTGACCATGCAAGGCAGTCCCTGCCCCAGAGACCATACAGTCGAATAAGGCGTGGCACACAAGGAAAAATGAAGGAGGGAGGAAGAGGAGAAAAGTAAGTGGCAGCTCAGCTGAGTGGACAGAGTGGCCCTGTGTCTCCTCTCCCCTCCTGGCAGAGGTTTGGTGGGGGGGAGCGGCCGGCCAGGGCTGCCTGCAGAGCGGAGGACAGCCCCCCCCCCCTGCACAGCCTGCCGTGCGGCACCGGAGCAAAGGAGGACGTCGGAGGGCAGCTGCAGGTGGACGGAAGGGGAATGGCGCAGGGTCTCCAGGCGGCCCCCCGAGGCAGGTGCTTGCAGGCGGCAAGGGGGGCTGCCGGAAGTCTCTGGAAGGGGCAGCCCTGGGGGGCGGAGTGGGTTTGGCTGCCCACCCTGCCCCTTGCCTCCGCTCTGGGGAGACAGCCAGGTCCTGTCTTGCTTTGGAAGCGGCTGGCTGGCCTCTTGGATTCGGGCGATGCTGCGGCTCACGGGAGGCTTTTAAGTGGCTGTCAGAAAGGGCTGTTCTCACGCTTCTCCTCTTAATGGCATCCTTCCTTCCTTCCTTTTGCTTCGTTAATGCGACAGAAAGCCTCTGGCGGCGTGTCCCCCCCCCCCCTGCTCCGAAGCAATCGGAGCGATCACGATCGCGGCCCTGGCAGCGGGAGAGGATTCGAAATGTATTTAACGCTTGGCTCGGGGTCGCGCGCTTGGCCGTGCCGGCCGGTCGATGAGGGCTGATGCCTTTGTGAGTCCCCAGACCTGCCCGGCACAAGAGAAGAGGAGGGGGCAGAAGGCGATCCGCTTCTCCCAGTCATAGTGTGATATGCAGACTTTTAATTCCGCCTTTCAGGCAAAAGGGTTTCCCAAAAGGACCCGTCTTGCTCCGTCGTATGACAGGCCTGGCTTGTCAGGCGCTCCGGCCAAAAGACACGCCACGAGAGGAACAGGGACGGGGAGGGAAGAGCGAGATTGTGGCTGTTGGCAGCACGTTCTCGGTTTTCATAGCGATCAGCTGTGCAATCTCCTAAAACCCCTCAGCCGTTCTCAGCGCCTGCATAACACAGCACTAAATCAGCCGACGGGCAAGAGGTATTAATTGAGCGACACACTGATTGAAAACGCTGCAGCAGAGACGGCGGAGCGGAGCCGCGGGGGCACGTCTGGGGAGGCCCGCGCAGGCAGCTCTGTCTTCAGGAGGTGCCGGAGCCTCGCCGCAGCGTCCCGCTCGCGCATGGCGCATGGAGGGCGCTCCCGCCTCCGCCGAGAGGCTCTGTCGCGCCGGCACTGCGTGGCAACCCTCTGCTGGTGGCTGCCGGCCGGGGGGCTGCAGCTGACGTCTTTGGGTTCCTGTGGGGCGAGCCCGGCTAGGTCAGCGTGCAGCCCCGAGTCGTCGGGGGCCTTGTCGGCCGCATGTCGACAGCAGCGCTTGGATCACGAGTGGGCAGCTGGGACACGGCTTCGGAGACGGTGCCCCAAGGGCTGGAGCTTTCTGTCTGCCCTGTTCCTGCTTCTGAGCCCGTCTCGTCTCGTCTCGTGGGCTCAGGGCAGCATGGGGCAGATGCAGGCCGAGCGGGTGGGACCCCCAGCTGCCGCGCCGCGCTGGAGAACCCCGGACTGAGGAGGGCCTTGCGGTCGCTCTGAAGCTCGCTCTGACCCGGGGCACGTCTCTGCCAGGACAGGCCGGGCTGCGTTTGGAGAGTCAGCGTTGCTCCTCTGCCTACGCCAGTAACGCCGGCCTTGCGCCAAGACGCTCGCTGCTCCATCTCGCCCTGCAGGGTCTCTCCACCCCTTTCCCCACCGGCTGGCTGCGGAGGAGCCCGCATTTGCGTCCAGGGCCCCCCGAAGCACTGAGCCCGGCTCCAGGGTCCCCGGGCGGGATGCTCCCGCGCACCCGTGTCTGTGGGATGCGGCTTTCTTCGGAGGCCGTCCTTGGGCGGCTTCGTCGTCTCCACTGGAATGCCCTCTTGGCCGCGGGGCCCTCTGGTCCTGAACGCCTTGCAGCGTCCCAGGAAAGCGCTCAACGGTCCTTCTTGTGGGGCAGAACCCTGGCCTCCCAAAACTGGACACTTCCCTTCCCTTCCCTTCCCTTCGCCCCCCTTCCGTTGTGTTGTGGGTCGGCCGAGAGCTGCTGCGCTTGGGGAGCTTTCCAGGGGGCCTTCGTGCCTCCCTCTTGTCACGCCCAGAGAAAATCGGCGGCCTGCCCCTTGCTCCTCCCCCCTCCCTCCCCCACGTGCTCCCCGGAGAGCCTCTCGCGGCACCATCCCCTGGGTCGGCAGGAGCGGCCGCGGTCCCCGTGGGTCAGGCCAGCCATGGAAACGCGCCTTCTCTCAGCTTGCCAGGCCGTGTCCACGCAGGCTCCCAGTTCAAAACAAACTATTCCCCAGCCGGATGCGTGCCGTGCCATGCCGTGCCGTGCCTCTGCCTCGGGGCTCGTGTCTCGCAGCCTTCAGGACCGGCGTCCTGCAGAGGCCCAAACGAGGCGCTCGCCCTCCCGACTCTCTTGCTCCCGCTGCGCTCTGCCCATCTTGCCCCGAAAATCGGAACGTGCACCAGCAGTCTCGCCGGGCCGGGCCGGAGGGGGCCGCGGTCTGGTGTTGGCTGGGGGGGTGGGTGGCTACACGCGTGCTCCAGACGGGACCCTTCGGATCTCGCTCGCTGGGCTTCCCCCCAGCACCCTCATCAGACTACAGTTCCTAGCATCCTGGACGCTGGCAGGAGCAGCCGTGCCGGGGAAAGCTTGCATGAGATGACATTGACGCCGCGCATGAACCCGCCTCGCCTTCCCGCTCTCGCTTCCACCGGCTGTTTGTCTGGGTACCAGCTGCAAAACTCTTTCTTTCTCCCCCCAAGCATTGCCATGGCGACGAAGGAAAACATGACTTCGCAGCGCGGGGTGATGAAGTCCATACAGAGCAAGATGAACAGCTTGGCCAGTATCCTTTCAGTGAAGGCCGGCCCCGCGATCGCCCCCCCCCCCCCCCAGGAGCAGATTGGTCTGTGCAAGGTGTGTGGGGCAGCCCCTCCCCTGAGGCTGGCTGTGGGCCCTGCTCCGGAGCACAGATGCAGCCCGGCTGGACCGTGCGCGTGTCCTCGACGAGCTTATCGCTGCACCGGGGTGCCGCCTCCGAGGAGGCCCTGCTCTTGCGGCCGCTCCCCTCGCCTCCCTCGGCAGGGGCACCAGAGCAGAGCCTCCGCAGGTGGGCCGGAGGGTCCAGGCATGTTTGCGTGAAAGGAGCCGGGCCTGTTTTGCGTGTGAGGAGGGCACCTTGCTTGTACGTCCCTCGAATTCCTTGCTTTCAGGAGAGTCCAAATCGCTTCTTACCTGTCAGAGCTCCTTTTGGGCACGGGGACAGGAGCACCTGCTCTGACTTTTTCACTTCTGCAGCTGATTTCTCATCATTGCTATTAGTTTTAGCATGATTACTCATATAAATATCATCGTATTTTTATTACTGTCTCCTTCGCATGCACGGCACAGCCCAGCATACAAGAGAACAAGGCTTTGCTCCCCGGGAGCTTTCAGTCTGAAATCCGTCACGAGGGAAATAACGCCACCGAGGACGGGGAGGGGAGGCGGGGCAGGGCTGAGCTGAGTGGCGTAGCCCTTCCTGCTCTCGGGGGCCTCCCACAGGGGACGGTCTCCGGTGGGGGAAGCCTGTTGTAGGACAGCTGGGAGTTTGCCGGCAGGTCCGTGCCTCCTTTCTTCTGTTCGGGGTGAGGACTGCCCACTGCAGCAGCAGCATTTCTGGGCCACCCTCTCCTGCCTCGCCTCCCTCTGTTTTCCGAGCTGAAGAGTAGCGAGATCGGGAGTCCGTGCCCCCCACGCTCCTCTCGCCGCCGCATGAGGCGAGAGGAGAGGCACCAAGTCTCATCTGATTAGACAGATCTTGTCCCGAGGAGATGCAGCCTGACGAACCATGAATTTCGTGGCGCTTTTTCTTTTGCTTTTGCTTCCAGCAACAGGCAGGTATACCAAGCGTGCTCTCCTCTAACGAGCTAAGCTCCCCTGTATTAGAAGTGAAGCTAGGCAAGTAGAAAGATGGACTGTTTCGGTTCTGCCGCCCTGTAGAAGGCATACATGCCGAAGCTTCCTCTCCCCCATCCCGGCCTCGGGCTGCTCCCTCCTTTCTCTCCTTCCCCTCCGGCCTGCCATCCCCTCGGCCACCGAAAGGCAGCTGCAGCCGTCCCCAAGCCCCGTTCTCGGTTTCGAGCCACGCTCGCCCTTCTGAAGCTTCCCGGCACAGGGACCTTCCTGCCTCCCGCTTTTCTAAGCAGGGATTTGGGAGGGCCGTTTCCGCCCTCGCCATCCTTTGCGGTTCCCTCTCGCTTCCAGTCGGGAAGGAGGGATCGCCACCCTCTGCCATCAAAGAAGCCGGAGAGTGGGGCGTGGAGAGCGCCCGGCGGGGCCCAGGCGAGCCGCTCGCAGAAGGCTCCCCCTTCCTCCCCTTCTGGCTCCTCAGCGCCACTCGGCTGTGCAGCGTCTTCCACGGGCGCCGCGCAGGGAGGGCTTTCCGCGTTTCCGGGTGCAGCGGGGAAGGGCGTGCGTGCGTGCCAGCCGGCCGGAGTGGCCGGCCGGGTTGCAGCCCTGGGCCGTGCTCCCTCCTTGCCTCCGGCCACGGCTCCTGTGGAAAGCTCCTGGCTGTGGCCCCGTTCCGGAAGGCTGCGATGGTTTTCCCGAGGCCTCGTTACCCACGGCAGGAGCCGAGAGCAAAGCCACGCCAGCATGGCCGGTGTTCGGGCCACGCCTCTTCTCTCGTGGGCCTGCCCACCCTGGCATGCAGCCCCCCAGAGCCTCCGGAAGTGGAACGTGGCCCTCGCTCGGGGGAGCAGCGCGGAAAGCTGCCGCCTCGCTGACCCAGTGCTGAAGGTCTCTGCCCCCCGACTGTGCTTTTTTCCTGCAGCCTCGGGGCTGGTGGGACGGTGGGGGGGGGACATCCCTCCAGGTTCTACAGGGGAGGGGGCCGCACGCGGAGGAATGTCGCGGATCTCCCAAATGCGCATCGCAGCCTTACCGACCTTAACCCCACCAAACCCAAGATCGCTTCCCAGCCGTGAACAGCTTGATACAACGGATCAACCTCCGGAAGCGGCGGGACTCCCTCATCCTGGGCAGCGTCATCGGCATCTGCACCATCTTCTTGCTCCTGTACGCCTTCCATTGATGGATGCTTTGCGCAGAGACTTCCGGTTTCCGGGCGCCCCCGCCCCGTCCAGGAGGGCCCTGGCAGGCGACGGGGCTGCTCTGGCGACCACCGGGGCCGAAGGATGTGTAGGCAGGCATTCCTCCCACCCCGCGCCGAGGCCGGCCGCAAGTTCCAGGGCTGGCCCCCGTCCCCTTCTGTATCGTTCATCTCAGTTTCGCACCAGTTTGTCCCCGTCCCCCCGACTCATAAAATCTCCTTTTCTGTCCCTCTTTCAGCTCCAGCTGAGTCAGACTGAGCAGAGGGTCAGAATAAACAGGACATAAAAATGCATCCTGCTTATCAAAGCGTCCTCGGGTGACTCTCTCCCCCCTGCTCTACTTTTCTTTGAATCAAGCCCTTCGTTCAAATTTTATTTTCCACAAGGAAGATGGTAGCAGATTAAACCGGGCCCGTGTGGGTTTGTTTTGCATCCAGCAAAGGTGATATTTATCACTTGAATGCCAGCTTGGTGCTGGTTGGCAGCCCAGAAACAGTGCAGAAGGAATCCACCGGGAATCAGAGGAGAAGACCCTTTCTGTGTGTGGGAGGGAGGGAATGTAACCCCCCCTTTTGGAAAATGGGATTTGGGCATCTGTCTCATTTCCATCATATGTCTGCATATCGAATCAAATTTTCCCTCCGGTGGTTCCATCGACAGGCCAAACTTTACTCACGGCCTACTCTTTGTTTAAAGATTCTATTTTAATTTAGATGGAAATCGTTCTAAAGTGTATTTTTTACTGTGGGTGACGGTGGTGGGCAAACGGGTGGCCGTCGGGCGTTGGCGTGGACAAAGCTGGTTTGCTAAATCCCCCCTTGAAAACTTGCATGGCCCAGAGAAATCGCTGGGCCATTTCTCCATTCAGCAGGTCTGTCTTGAAAACACCCAGGAGCCCCCCTTCCAAATCTTTCAGCCTCTAAGGAGCAGGATGAAGCCTTCCTTCCCGGCATGCGTAACTCTTAACCGTTCTTTTTTCAGAGGTACCCCCGGCCAACAAAGTTAAACAAATCAACATATCAGCACAAGTTCTCCCAGCAACAACCCTGGTATTCTAACTTGTCATTCTGGTTCTCTTCTAACAAACACACTGGATTCCCTTTAAAAAATAAAATAAAAAAATAAAAAACCCGCCCAAGGTATTATTTTAAATCCTTGTGCAATTCTGACACGGCTTCTCCTGACTCGAAAAAGAAATCAGCATTTTTTTTTCATGTTTATATACGTACCACGAGCAGATATGGACTTCCACTGTTCCGGTGCAGAATGCCGGCTTTCTCGGACCGAATTCCAAAGCTGATCTAACCGTTGCTTCTCTTTGGGTGTATAAGGCAATTTACTGTGAGTGCTGATGCAGTTGGGGGTACAAGGAGGAGAAAAATGTGATTTAAATCTCGTGTGTCTAAAGGATGGACGGACGGTTGGTTGGTTGACTCTACGGAATATCTCCAGTTTCACATAAACTTGTTAGTGAGCTGTCTGAAAGCAGCAACAGTGAAGATAAAAAGCTAACAGTGATTTATTGCCACAGCTTTTGTGTTAAGAGCTCTCTCTGGGCTCTTATTTTCTTCTCTCTTTCTGGACCCCAGATGGGTGACTGTACTCTGTCGAGACGGAAAGAATTCGGTTGCTTTCTGTAACAGGACAAGTAGGTTCAATGCTATTCCTAAATAAAATGCCTTTATTTAATCTTAGAATGTTGTTTTCTTCACACCCTCCCCAGTCTTCACCGGAAAACGATGCAGCTCATATCTTAAACCGTTCGTGGGAGAAGCAGAAGAAATGGCGTCAGATGCTCAGTCGGGGTCTCACAGCGAAAGAGCGGCTTCCGGTCAGGTTGCCGGCCTGAGCCGACCTGCCGGAGATGTCCCCTTCCCTCTGCCAGAGCAGGTCTCGTGGGTGTCCAGCACCCAGCCGGCCTTTCCTCGCCGAGGTGCCCAGAGCAGCAAGGTGTGGCCTGCAGGGTACTGTGCTTCGTTTCCACCGATAGGATCTTCGTTGTGATGAGCTTTGTGCGTGTGGTTGTGAGAGGAGGAGGAGGAGGAGAGTTCCCGGTGTATATGAAAGCGGGCACGGACTGTATTTCGCAGAGAGCTCTTGCGAGGAATAGACCTGTTCCTAGAAATAGATGTCTGCACATCTTCCCCAGCGATCCCGTTCTTCCAAGATAGGTCATGAGTGGAGCCGGCTGGAGCCGGGGGTCAGACTAGATGGCCCCGAGACCCCTTTTCATTTGCTGTTTCTGTGTTCTATATGCCTAATCTGGAAGGTTGCGTTGTGTGGCGGCTGGCAGATTCTTCGCGATGGAGCCTACAGAGGCAGGGAGCCTGGGTCGCTTTCCGAATTTCTCCCTGCTTTTCTGTGTGGCCCCGAAAACAGCACGTCTTACTGAGAATATTGCCCTCATTTCTCTGTGGCACGGGTGCCGTTGCAGGGACGGGAGAATACGGGCCCAGAAGAGGACTTTTCTCTGGCCGAGTGTTTTCCCCATTCTCCTCCTCCTCCTCCTCCTGCACAATTTATGCTTCGTTTTTCTCTTTCTGTGGTTTGGGTCACCGAGTGCTGGGAATCCCAAGACTGCCTGCCCCCTCCGAGCCCCGGGAGCCTGCCTCTCGTGCCCCCTCGGCCCCCCTCCTGCTGACCTGCCCTCGGTCCCACCAGCCAAACTGGCCGCTGGCCTCTGTCCGTCCCCGAAGGCGTTTCTGAAGCCTCTGTCTGGTTTTTGGCTCCGGGCGTCTTGTTTCTTCCTCTTGTCTGCTTTATTTCTGCGTTCTCCTTTTTGCCTGTGTGTGTGCGTGTGTGTGTGCGCGGTTGTGCATTCCCCCCTCCTTTTTTGCTTGTCTGTGTTACACGTAAATAAATGAATGGGTATTCCTTAATGCTGCTGTCCAAAGCGTCGAACCGAAAGGAAAAAGCTCTCGCCTGCACTTTGGTTGCGCTGCCTTCCCGGATCTATTCTGCATGGCAGCCCAACGAGTCGGTGTATTTATGAATAATATAAAAGGCTGAAGCACTCGGAATGCCAGGAATGCCGCTCGCCAGCGGCTCGCCACCCTCCCCGCGCGGGTTTCTCTCGCGCTGCCAGCACAAGCCCCGTAGCGCGGGGGGGGGGGCTCTCCGGGGCAGCCCCCCTGCCTCCGCATGGCTCCAGCTCCCTCTGGCCAAAGGGGACCATCTCCCGGCTGAGGTCTGAAGGGGAAGGTGAGCGAAGGAGAGATCGGAAGCGCCGCTTTTGGGAGTCCGGGAAAGATCTGCTGGTGGAAGGCTGTTTGTCCGGAGCATCCCTCATCTCCGCTCAGAGGACGAAACGTGAAGCGCCTGAACACCGAACCTCATGCTCCTGAAACTGCAGCTTCTTGCAAGAGACGGGCCTTCTCAGCTCCCCACTGGCCTTCCCTTTCCACATGCTTGCCTTCCGGCAGTTGCTTTTCCTCTCCCTGCTTCTCTGCCCGCAAACCAAGCTGTAGGGCCACGTTTTCCCTGCCCCCTGGTGCTCGGAAACCAAGAAATAGGTCTGTGCCACAGGGTGGCTCCCTCCAGAGAGTTGGGACTCCAGTGCCCATCAGCCCCTGGCAGCATGGCCAGCGGCTCAGCAGGGCTAGCCGTTCATGGCTCTTCAGTGCGTGGCTTAGACCGCGAGCCACTGAGCATTTCTTTCAAGAGAACAGCAGAGTAAATGCCGTGATGTAAACGCATAAATAGCGGATTTAACATCCGGCAACGGTGGGAACGCAGTGGCTTCTGTGTGCGGTTTGCAAGTCCATTTGGGGGCGTCCAGCTGTGCCTTAAAAATCACGGATGGGCCGTGGAAGCCTCCTGGCTGTTGGTTGTCAGGTGGGCCGCTCTGGTTAAGCTCGCGTGCGAACGCTGTCTAGGGGAGACGAACGTACGGCTGGTGACCCACGGTAATGGCCGGATGTGGGTTGCTGTCGAACCACACGCGTCGTCGAAATGTGAATGATTGCGGTGCCTGCGCGCACCCGCTAGCAAGGCACAGATTGCTCACCAGGGCTGCTGAGTTGCGGTGAAGTGTGGGTTGTTGGTTTTCCGAAGCCATCGGCAAACCGTGGCTTGTCGATGCGCCTGGGTTTAGAAAAGGCGATGCTCACAAGCAGGGCTTGAGTGTGAGGCTGCGCTGCCAACCAGAAACAACCCGTGACTTGCTCTTGGGCCACGTACCGTGGGCCGTTCATCACGGCTTGCGAACTTGGAGGGTCGAGGTGTCGGATTCATGCGCCCATCAGCAACAACCCACGGCTGAACGACGCCACACACAGCCCACGAGCGCCGTCCGAACGCAGCCTTGGAAAACAACTTAACTGAAATCGGGGGCGTCAGGGATCAAGTGGCCGGCCGGGCGCCCACCAGGTTCCCCAATCTGTTGGAATTGCTGGCTGGGAATGATGGGAGTTGCAGTCCGGCGCGTGCTGGGAGAGAGCAGCACATGGATGCGCACGGAGACATTTTCGTGTGCTCTGCTCTGTAGAACCGGGGGCGCAGCTGTGTCCGGGGCTCACAGACGTGTCCCGGGGCTCAGCCCCTGCTCAGCCGCGGCTCCACTTAGGCGTCTTCTCGCTCGCTCGCTGCCCCCCACCCCCCCCAGAAGCTGCGTGTTTTTCCGCTCGCTTTCACAAAGGCCTAATCAAACTGGACAGGGCTGTAGTGCGTCTCCTGCTAGCTGAAAGCCGCGCGAGGAACGGGGAATTGTGCCCTGCCTGTAAATTTCCGCTGCTTCTCGGGGGCTCTGTGGCAGCCCCCCCGCCGTGCTCTCCAGAGGATGTCCCCCTGCCTTTACGTTCCCAGCTGGGGGGACAAGAGGCTCCCTGCTTGCTCCCCGGATGCCGCCCCAGCGCCAGGCGCTCCCTAGGCGAAGTGTGGCGTGGGGCGGTTCGGCAAGGGGAGCCCCCGGGCCCCATCGCAGGCCAGAGAAGGAGCAGAGGCAGGCCTTGCCGTCCCCCCCCCCCCCCGTGCCAGGACTGCCCCACAGCCATGGCCCTTTAGGTGGGGCGGCTGCTTTCCGTGCCGCCCGCTAACAAGCAAGGAGTTCGTCCATTTCGGTCCGACCAGCAGTGGGTCTCCCCCATGTCTTCAGACGCTTCTGCAGTCCTGCGCACTTACGCGCTCTTGTGAGGGAGTGCCGGCCGGCCATGAGCCGAAGACCGTCTGGGAGCCCAGTGTGGCCCCATCCTGTCGGCTGTCGACGGCACAGAGCCGGGGAAGCAGGTCCCAGCGCCTCCTGCAGAGCCGGCTGCGGGCGCATCCCTGGTGGCGGGCCGGCTGCCTCCCTCAATCCACCCCAACCGCGTCTTGGCTGAGGGCAACATTGCCCGCTCTGGCTGGCAGCCGCTCGCCACGCTCTCCGGCCCCGGAGGATCCCCAGTCCCTTCCTCCTCAAACTTTCTGAGTGGGGACACCGGGGTCGGACCTGGCTGCTCTGTGTGCGGCACTGGTCTGTCTTCGGCAGAGGTGTGGACCCGGATGTCCCTTGGAGGAACTCTCGGGGGCCACATGCAGGTGGGGACGGGGCTGAAGGCGAAGGGGGGGCAGCATCCCCCCCGGAGCAACCTGTGGTCCCCATACGCTCTTGCTGCCAGTAGCACAGCCGTGAGAGGCACTTCGGCTGTGGGCAAAGAGCTGCACAGCCCCCCATGGAGGGGGCTTGGAGGGGGGCGGCCGGGGAACGTGGTGTGCCCGGCTGGGGGAACAGAGAGACCCCTCCCAACAAGCCACGCGATTGTTGCCCTGTGTACGCCATCCTGAGCAGCTGAAGGCGATTCACGAAAGCCGGGCTCTTCTGCGAGCGTCTGTCGTGCCCACTTCCCTACGATCCCATCACAGCCCTCGGAAAGCCGCAGAAGAGCCTGCCGAAGACGGGGCGACCCCCTCAGCGGACAAAACGGTTGCAAGCCGGGGGGTTTTATTTAACCAATTTTATTCCTCTTGGCCCCAGACTCAGGAGCCACTGGTCTCGACAGACTCGAAGCAATGCCTGTTTGTTTAAAAATGACTTTTTGACCATGCACGGTATTTTCTAAAATTTTTCCATTTTTGTTCTCGCATGCCAAGAAAGACAAAGAAAATCACGGTGCAACCTCTTGCAGAAAAAACAAAGGAGGACTGGAAGACGATGAGAAAAAGGGGGTGTCCCAAAGGGTTTCCCTTGGCCTGCGGGTGAATTCTGACGGCCCGTGTGGAAAATCGTAGATGCACGTTTTGAAAATGCAGAAGGCCGGCTGGGTTCTGGGGGTCCTCGTCCCTGGGGCCGAACTGTCACCGCTCAGCATATTTTGTCGTTTGGGACTGAGGTGCTCCATCCTGCTGGAAAGGGAAGGGGCCCCCGAGTCGCCTGGCTTTTGCTTTCGTACGAACTCTGTGAATGGAGGGACGCCGCTTTTCCCGGGCTTCCCCTAAATGTCAGCAGCATACCCTGTAAGCTGTATCAGACCAGCCTTCCGCATCTGGACACCCTCCGGTTGCATCCATAATCCCCAGCTGGCTAGGGAGGATGGGAGCTGTAGTCCGACCCATCCAGAGGATGCCGGTGACCAGAGGCCAAAGCAGCGGGTCCGAAACCTCCGAACGGCATTAATCGGGGCCGAGAGCTTTCACTGCTCACAATTCAGCCATAGGAGCGATGGTTCAACTTTTAGTGGGGCGGGCTGAGCAGAAAAGCTGGGGGACCACCAAATCGTGGGCAGTTGGGGGAGGGGGGCAGGACTTTCGTGGGACCCCCCTCCCCGGCTGAAGGATCTGGGTGTCCGCTTTAAATGGCGGCTCATCTCGCTCTCAAAAGCCTGGAGATGTTTCTGTGAGAGTCGGCGGCCACGCGATTCTAGCCATCAGGCAGGGGGGCTTCAGCCGGTGGCTGGTGGCCAGTGGCTGGCGGTGGCCCGGGCTTGAGAGAACCAGCTTGGCCGCTGGAAAGTGGGCAGCCGAAGGGAGAGAGTGCCCCGGGGGTTTTAAGACTGGCTGGTGGGTTCGGGGGCTCCACGGATAAGCCACTTGCTTTTAGGAAACAGCCGCTGCCTAATCCCTCACCATTAGCTTTGCTGGCTGGGGCAGATGGGAGTTGTAATCCAAGAAGTTGCCCACCGCTTCTTGGAGAACAGAAACGGCCATCTGCCCCCTTGCCTTCCACCCTCCCGCCTGGGGGAGTATTTCAGATAGCTAGTGTAAATTTCCATTCGGGCACTGGCCCCGCTGCAGCCGCCCCACACATGTCATGTTGTGGGGGGCAGAATCCAGCAGGGGGTTCCCCAACATGGCTTGAGCGGGGTCATGCGTTGCTGCACGTTCTGGAAAGCGGCTCCTTGGTTCAGCGGGGGGGGGGGGGTTCTCTGAAACATGCGCAGCCAGCGACTGTATCATGGCTGTGGGGAGCCGGGAATCGGGGCAGGAGTGCCATTGCCAGCCCAGAGGAAGCCTCGTGTTCTGGGCTTCCCGTTCTGTACAACTAAATATTGCCGCAGCACTTGGAAGTCAACTGTTCCGCAAGCTGTGAAGGGCTTCGGTGGCAGCTTTCGCCCTTCTTGGTGGCGATTTCCCACGGAGACGGAAAAACTGGGAACCACGGTGCTTTCGGGGTGGAGCAAAGCGGCGTCTCAGCTCGGCCTGCGCCTCGGCGCTTCCCGCTGCACCAAACCCACACCGATCTTGGCCACCCGCCCCTGGCTCTGCACACAGCTGCTCCAAACCTGGATGAGCAGGTTAGGAAAGGAAGTGGCCCCTCGTCCGGGATCCGTGCCCTGCAGAAGCTGCGTGTGCCAAGCCGGGCTCTTGCGCCCGAGCGGAGGGAAGCGGGGGAGGCCGGTCACCGGCTCATGCTGTGAACTGCCCCCAGGAAGGAAGCGCCCTGCACCAAGGAGACGGGGAGGGGGCTGCGACTTATCCTCCAGCACAGAGCAAGGGGGGGCGTCTCCTGCAAAAGCCGCCCAGCCGTCATGCAGAACCGGGGCTGGAACAAAGGGCCACGGCCCGGGGGTCGCTTTCCGCCCCTGCTACTGGAAGGGTTTTTTCCTACGAGCAGAGCATGCAGTTCGGCCCTTTTCCCTCCAAAGTAGGAAAGTCCCCTGCGCCATTCCGGTTTCCCTGCTCGGTGGCTTTGCAGGATTGCACCCATCCTACAGAAAAGAGCGGTGCTCGGCGTGGGCTCCACACCAGTTCAGTCCCTTGAGGGCTCCGTCTCCTCCGGGACTCGGCGACGTTTCAGCACGGGGGAACACCAGCCTGCACAAAACCCAAGAAGAACTCGCGCCGAGATGAAAAGGTGGGGGAAGAGAGGCATCTGCCCGCGTCCCACCCCATCGGCCTTCCTCAGCGTCATCGCAGAGCAGGTGGCGACGAGGAGAAGCCCCGTGCCGCACGGTGGGGGCCTTTCAGGGGCCCCGGCTGCCTCCCGTTCCTAGGATGGTCCGTTTGGCTACCACCGCGGACTGCAAAGGGTCTCCACCCGCGGGTCCCTTCTTGCAAAACCCATGTCCTTCGTGGCCACTCGGGCACTGGAGGTGGCCACAGGGCGAAGGCCGCATCCATCGCTCGCAGGGCTCAGGCCGTGCTAATTCGATTTCAGGAGACCTGGAAACCAAGGTGGGGGCAGGCATTAGTCCAGCTGGCAGCCCCCCATGCAAAATACTGGCCTGTCCAGTGGCTTTTGCACCCAGCTGACTGGCTTAGACAGAGGTAGGCAAGCTGCCTTGGACTGCAAGCCCCAGCAGCGCAGTCAGGGATAATGGGAGCTGGAGTCTCAGACATCTGGAGGGCTGCATCCCGCCCGACTCTGGCCTGGGTCTTGCCACAAAAGCGCCACGTGACGTAACGAAGTTTCCCCTATATTGATATGCATCCCATCACTTTCGCCCAGCGGCCAAAACCACGTTGTGATTTGACTGCAAGCCACGTAACCCCCAGGTCTCCGTCTGCTTCCATTGGCTTGTCCATCAACTGGGGGGGGGGGGTGCTGCACAAGGGATGCAGGCCCCCAGTCTTTCCTTTGGAGCCCCACATTTCTGGCGGGCCCTTTGCCCCACCGCCTCCCATCCAGGGGCACAGATCGTTTCTGCTGTGTCTGACCCCCACCCCCCCATGTTCCTCCAGGGGGAAAGATCCTTTTCCAGACACACGCGAGTTCGGCTGTACAGATTTGCGCTTTCTCTGCTTGCCCGGGCCTGTGCCCCCAGCTTTTCAGCCCTGAGCATCCCCTTCATTGCCTTCGCCGAGCAGCACCTGTGTTTCCTGACTTAAAATTGGGGGCATGCGCCACTTCCCGCCCCAGCAGGTTCCCAGATGTGGCTCTCCAAGGGAACGATGTAAAAAGTAGTAATCAGCCATCCCCCAGAGCGGGCAGAGCATGGCCCTCGCAAAGATCCGCTGGGAGCAGGAAATTCTGCGCACAGCGTCCTCACCCTGGAATCCAAGTGAAAGGTCCAGGACTCCCGTCCTGGGGAGCTTCCCTGGCAGCGACTTCTCTCCAAACATGTTGGACTAGAACTCCAAGGAAAAGAGCCGCTCCTGAAACCCGCTGGGGCGGCCGCTGGCTCACGCGGGCAGCTCTGTGCTAATAAGCCGATGCTTCGACTCTGCATAAGGCAGCTTCAGAAGTTCCTATTGTAACCAGCCTGTTTTTTCAGGACCATGAGGACTAGAACCATTATTTTCATGGGAAGGATTGTAGCGAGGCGCCTGAGCACCGGGCCGGATGCGTGCGCGGGGAGAAAAGATGCCGGCAAAGCTTCTGAAGTGGAGGCGGAGAGAGCTTACCTGCAAAGTTCAGTGAGCAGATGAGGATGATGAGGGTCCCAAGCACAATGGAGAGGATGCTGAGGAACCGGGCCACTCGCCCGAGGCGCCTCGCCCCGTCCACGTCGCCCTGCTGGTGGCTGTTCCTAGACTGGCAGGAAGGGGGAAACGGACACATTTTCATCTTGGGCCAGCGCCGTGCCTGGTCTGTCGCGGTGTTGGGAGCACGGTGCGCGTGGAGGGAAGCCCACGCCCACATCCGGCGCGGGGCGGCAGGGTCTCCTGCCCTCCAGGTCCGTCCCTGAGGGGCATCTGACTGCGTTGCAGCCCGTTTCCGCCGCCCCCGCCCCTTCCAAGGGGCAGGGAATTTGGAGGGCGGTGGCGGATGCTGCCCGTTTCCCTGCTGATAAAAGAGCCGGCAGCGCGTCCCTGGGAGCCCCGGGGCCACTACCCCATGGCCGTCGGTGCAGCCCAGCCTTCCAGCAAGTAGACGCAGCTTTTGGAGACTGGTGTTGCGTGCAAGTGAAGTCATGCCCAGAGGCACTCTTGCAGCCCCTGAAGGGAGAGATCTGTCCCCCCCCCCCCCCCCCCCCCCCCGGGGAAGGGCAGCGTCATTCTTCTGCTCATTTCTTTGCCTGGACTGTTGTGCTTCGTGCCGGTCGTGAGTCCGCCACCTGGTGGCCGAAGCTGTTCCTGCAACCTCCGAACACAGAGCCTCCCCTTTAACTGAAATTGACGGATGCACGCGGAGGAAAGGAATAACCCCAGGCTACGCACCCGTGGGGGCCCCCCAGTACGTGGACTCAGCTTGGGGTGTCTGCCGTTCGTGGTCTTGGAATGACGGCAGTGACGGACAGACGGATGCATATTATTTTTCATACTGTGTTCTAGATCAAAGCACAAGCTGCCTCGCCGAGGCTGTTTCAAACCTTTAAAAAGACAGCCAGTGGGATGTGGCGGTTAAGGTGTCGGACTGGGACTGGCGAGTCCCAGGTCCTCATTCCCACTGGGCCGTGCAAGTTCACAGGGTGCCTTTGGGCCAGTCGCAGACTCTCCTCCTGGCCTACCTCACGAGGTTGTTGTGAGGATAAAACGGAGAGGAGGAAGGCTTGCAAGGCGCCTCAGGTCCCTTGCAGAGAGAAATGTGGGCTGGAGGCAGAATAAATGAAGCAGTGACAGAAAGCATTAAAGCAGCCCAAGTGAAGCGATGTGCAGGCAGGCAATATTTACGGAAGGAGACATTTTGGCAAAAGAAAAATGCCTCAATGCAGAAAGGCTTAAAAGCTTTTATTCCCTGCCGGGTTATCCTTCCACCATGGACAGCTCCTTGCGGGAATCTTCCAGCCCCCCCCCCACCCTTTAATTTGCCTTCTCACAAAAGGGCTGGCGGAGACCCCCGCACCCCCTGCCCGACCCCTCCCATGCCCATGGCCCCCCCTCGCCGGCATCCCCTTTAACCCTTTGCCCACCCAAGGCTCCCCAAGCCATAACTAGCAACAGGCACCTGGGAGAGGCACGGGGTGCCCCGGCGGGTACGAGGCCGGTATGCGTCCCACAACACCCAGCCGTGCTGCCCGGGGTACGCCGGGGGGGGCGGGGTCGGCCGATTTGTTCTGTCTGCTCATAGCGGGCTTTTCTCTGTCTGAATGGGCTTTGCGAAGGCAGATGTGAGGTTTCAGGGGCTGAAGTGGGCCCGAATCTGGAGATGTGGGGGTGTCCTGATGGACGCGTTGCCTCGAAGGGGTTAGTTGCTCGGAACAAGCCGTAGGGCGGAGAGCCCCCCGGAAGCTGAGCAGGGGTGCGAAAAGCCGGCAAGAGTAGAAAAGAGTAGCAGCGGCAACAGGCAAAAATAATACTTATGTAAAGCAGAGGCAACTGCGATTGTTGATAGCGGATTAAGGAATGCTACTGAAGTGAATGATTACTGGGTGTTGATGGCCAGAGTGGAAGGCAGAACGGAAGTGGACGGGTCCTCTGCCCCGCCAGCCCCCCCCCATGGGCTGCCCCCCCCCAGCAACCGCACCCTGGCGGTCCCTGCCAGCCGGGTATGTGCTGCAGCCCCATCTGTGGCCACCACGCCTCGCAAGCCTCGTTCTTTCAGCCCGGGTCCCTGCAGCGCTCCCTGTGCTCCACAGCGGGGGCTGGCTCTGAGAGCCCCCCCGGCCCCGTCCCTGAGAGCAGGGGCCGTCTGGTGAGCTGTGCCGTCCCGCCCGGCCTCCCTGCCCCGGCCCGTCTGTTTCTGGATAAAGCCACTATTGCTGGGGGGCACGCAGACCCGGCTGTGTGGGGACTTGGGGCGTGGAGAGGCGGTGGTTGAAAAGAAAGGCCAGCTCGCCATGCTCAGAGGCACTCTTGGTGAATGCCGACCCGGCTCCCGGACTGAGCGTGGGGCAGTCCCGAGGGAGCGCTGCAAAACGCCCAGCCGAGTTTCCTCCCTTCTGCAGCCAGGATGGGGAGGGCGCAGCCCTCTGGGTGTGGCTGGGCTGCAGCTCCCATCAGCCACCCCTGTTGGCTGTGCCGCCTGGGGATGATGGCCATTGCGGTCCCTCCACATCTGGAGAGCCGCCCATTCCCCACCTCTGTCCTGAATCCCCGTGGCCTTCGCCATGTTGGACTGCCCCTCCCATCTTCCCCAGCCCTCAGCTGTGCTGGCTAGCAATGTTCTGGAGGCCAATCATCCCCGTTCCCCGTTGTTTTCTAAGGAAAACCTGCAGTCCAGCGAATCTTGCAGGCGCCAGGTTGTGAACGCCTGCGGTGGAGGGCCAGAAAAGGCTGCCTGAGACGGGGAGAGTGGAGGAAGGAAGAGAGTGAAAGAAGGGCGCACTCCTTCTCATATAATATTAAATGGGATTATTTGGCAGTGGATTCCAGAGAGATGAAAGCGATTACTTCTTCGGGCACTGCATAATTAACGCACCCGGACACTTTGCTGTAGCGAGTTCGGTGCCCACGGGCTTCGCCTGAGGCATGCTCGCAGTGGGGAGCTGAGTAGCCACGGTAGTGAAATGGAGCTTCCATTGGCCGGAGCAGTCTATCCCCGATACCGGGGCTGCTGCAGGAGGAACTTGTGGGAGGGGCTCCTGCATTCGAGAGGCTTTGGTTGTCCCCTGTGGACAGCAGCACTCTGTCCATGCTCAGGGGTGTGTTTCTTGATCGTTACATAGCATCCCTGTCTGTTCTCCATTCACGCAGAGGCTTTCCCTTTCGCTGTGCACCCTGCCTCAAAATTCCGCCCGACAAAAGCCGCCCACAACAAACCCCCTTGTCCTGGCCCCATGAGGAGAAAATGGGAGGCCGGCCGTCTCTGGAGAGATCCAGAAGCAAACAAGAGTCGCCTCGTTGGCTCCTCACCCCTCGGCTGTGGCTGATCCCCAGGGCAGCTAGGAAAACGGGCAGCTGAGGAAGGGGCTTTTCTGAACACGGATGACCCGCCAGAAGCGGGGAGAACAGCACCCCCTCAGCCGCCAGCCTGGTTCGGCTCAACCTCCAGCATAGCCCCCTTGCCTGGAATCCAAGCGTGGCTCGTCGAAGCCCCGTTCCTTTCCGTGGATCTGCTCTAAACAGGACTGGGGCTGGGCTCCCCACACTTTCTGCTTTTAAAACGACAAGGCAAGCCGCGTCGTCCAGAAACGCAGTTCCGAATCTGCGACAGCTCAGTTTCTTGCCAGGCCGAAACATGCGAGTTTTCGAGACGGCCAGTTCATTTCGCGAGGCAGAGCCAGCTTGGGGGGGAGAGGAGGAGACGGTGCTTGTTGTTGGGGTCATCCAGTCTGATCGTCCAAGCTGGACGCCCACGCTGGGGCTTAGAGATCAGCAGCTCTCCCCCCCCCCCACAGCAACGCCCCACCCGCTCTTTATACCGCCTCACCTGGCGAAGCAGGTGCGGAGCTCTCCGAAGTGGAGAGCTGTGTGAGCTTCTATTCGGCCTCACCAACGTATTACACGAATAATTTCGGGACCTGATATCTGAAAGACCCTTGAGCTTCTTTTTATGGGTGCTGACATGACTCAGTGATAACCCCCCCCAGCTCCCCACGGATTCCAGCTCCCCTCCTCTCCCCGCTCCCCTTTCCCAAACTCCGCGCCAGAGCTTTTTGGAATCAAACGCCAAGCCCCGATTCTGCCAAATCCTCGGCAAAGTTTGCTCCGCGGTTCGCGGCGCCCGCTCTTTCGTGCTGATGCGGATCCGGCTGAACCGGGGGCGTCTCGGGGCTTCATCCCGGCTGCCCTCGCCCATCGGCGCCTTCCCGGAATTTCGCGAGCGCCGTGCTACGTCCGAGGGGCATTTGGGAGGGGGGCGCGGCCCGCCGCCCCTCTCGCGCCCCCTCCCCGTTCACGCCGCCTGCCGAGGAGGAGGAGGTGCCCCTGGAGGCGGGGGGACGCGCGGCCGCTCTCGCCTGCGCCCAGGGCGCACGGGGGCCCTCGGAGAAGCGGGCCGTGCGCCCTTGCGCTCGGCGCCCCCCCGGAGCCCGGAGGAGCCCGCCAGGGGACGCGGGCGGCGCTTACCATGATGGAGAAGACCAGGGCCAGGATGTTGATGGGCCAGACCGGGCAGAAGCACGAGAAGATGGCCAGCGGCAGGTAGTCCCTCGAGCGGCCGGGCTCGTGCAGGTTGGACGCGGTGGCCGTGGACGAGGCGCGCCCCAGGCTGAGCCGCGACGGCGAGAGCGAGGTCGAGCGCGAGCGCGGCTCCAGCTGCCCCTCGGAGCTGGCCTGGTAGGGGCCGACGTGGGGGCCGTTCCTCTCCGCCGCCCCCGCCGCCAGCGCCCCGTCGACGGCCGAGAAGGACTTGGAGAGGCGGGCGCCGCCGCGCGTCAGCAGCTTCTCCGTCTCCTGCGCCTCGGCGGCCGGGGGGCCGCCCTGCAGCGCCTTCGCCGGGTGCGCGTCCGTGGCGAGGTCCATGCCGCGCCTCGCCTCGCCGCGCCTAGAAGCTCATGGCCCGGGCGGCGGCGCGGCGCGTGGACGGGGCGCGGCGAGCGGGAGGCGACCGCCGCGCCGCGGGTCCCCGGGGCGGCTCCCTCCGTGCCCAGGGCTTCCCGGCGCCTGCGCTGCGCTGCGCTGCGCTCGCCCGCCCGCGTCCCAGCCGGCCGGGTCTCGCCCTCCGCTGCGCTCGCCGCCGTCTCCAAGCGCTCTTTGGCAACTTTGCGCAGCGACCGTCCGAGGGGCCGCCCAGGCTGCATGTGAGCTCATGGGGGGAGGGCGGAGCCAGCCAGCCCCCCCGCCAGTCGCCAGCCCCAGCGGAGCCCCGGGCGGCTCTGCGGGCACGCGCGGCGGCGGCGGCGGGATGCGCCGGGCGGCGGCGGCGGGGGTGCGGGCGCGCCGTTGCTCGCGGGAGGCTGCCTCTGGCCGACGCCTTTCCAGCGCCAAGCCCCCGTTCCCTCGCCCCCTGGCAGACGCCGCCCCACGGGATGCCGCCCTGCCAAGGTAAGAGGGACCGGGGCGGAGGCTGAGCTCCCTTCTCCCGCTACGGCAACACTCCCCGCGCTTCTGCCCTGAGCCCGGCGCGGCTCCACCGGCGCCTCGCTCGCGGTTCGTCGTGGCCCGTCCCTGGTTCATAGAACTGGCTGGCCCCGATCCGCAGGGCCTCTGGGCAGCTCTCGGTTGCCTCCTAACACACACGGATCTTCCCTGGTACCGTTTTAGGAGGCCCCTCTGTGTGCGTGGTTGGCCTCTCTGTCCCCCCACCCCCATTCATTCTTCCTTCCAGTCGTGCACGGGATTGAGACAGCGCCCCCCTGCTGCGCCCACAAAGTGCTTGGCCAAAGCATCCCTTGGCCTTGCTTGGGGACTTCTGGGCCACCTGCCTGGCCGCAGGACGCGGCCTTCTGGCTGCCAGACCCTGCCCTGCCCTGCCAGTCGCCAGTCGCCGGGCCAGGCCATGCTAGCGAAGAAGGACCTGTGGGGCAGAGCAGCGCTGAGCCCCCAGATCGGCCCTCGGCTGCTTCACAAGCACCTCGACGAAGCTTGCATTAAGGAGCGACACCCCCCCCCCCGGGGCCGAAGGGTGGCTTCTCCACGCGAAGTCAGCATTCACAGCGATCGCTAAGAGAAGAAGCTGATTAATAACGGCTAACAATGTGTGGTCATGATTAATGCTGCGGAATAATTGCTAGGCACAGTTAAGAACAGTTAATCCTTGGCCTTTTGCAGCTGGCCGTGGCGATGCCTGCCGAGACGCTTGCCTCGCCTTTGCCCCCCCCGCCCCCGCCCCCGCCCGGGGCCCATTTTGCTCTTCCAGGCAAGGAGGAGAGGCCGGAGACCGTATGGTGAGCGCCGAGCGCCACCTTGCGGGAGCCGTCAAAACCACCCAAGCCTGGAGCGTCTGGCTCGTTGGAAGAAGAAAACCTGGATGGTCTTTCCTTCCCCTTCCCCACCAGTGAGGCTCGCGCGATTTCATTTAGAGATTGGGTACCGTTCTCTCCGCAGGAGGGAAACACGTACAAATTGGAAGCTCGCCTGGCTCCGCAACATGGGCCCAGTTCCAAAGATCCACAGATGCAGCAACAGACTTTCCCTCAGGTGCTTTTTTGCCTGTGAATAAAACTGTCCGGAGCAACACTATTCCGGTCCCGCCTCCACCCCTTTTTCGTGCACATTTGCCAAACAAGATTGCCTTGCAGAGCAAATTGCTTTTCAGACCCTCCCCTCTGTATTCATCCGGCTTTTCAACACCTCCAGCTCTTTCAACCTGGCTTTTTCCAGAGGGACTAGAACTCCCATCATCCTCAGCCACCATAAGTTAGAGGGGATGAGAGTCATAGTCGCATCATCTGAAGGGCACGGCCGCTTCTTTCCTTTTTAAAGAGCGCCTCCGTAGCTTTTTCACGGCTCCGCTGCCTTCTTTACACGCCTGGTTTATCCACCGCTGCCGTGTCAGACGGTGCGCCTGAGCCTTGGTTTGCATGTTCACATGCACACATGTTCAGCCTCCCCCGATCATAGGTAGCCATGTCATCCCATTAGGAGAAAACAAAGCCAAACAGGAAACCCACAGAGTGGACAGTGCTTTTATTAGGAGACACGCAAACACCACAAAAGGTCAGGCGAGCTTCCAGATTCCACAGACCTCTTGCTCTTCGCACAGTCGTGCAAACCCTTCCAGCTGCGTGGCGGTGGGTGTCGCCCGTTTCCCCACGAGTGGAAACCGGCCCACCAGGATCGAGCACAGACAAAGCCTTGTACACGGTTTGCTTTCAGCTGCTGAGTGGAGCATTGGGATCGCGACTCCCAGCACCCCTGACCCCTGTGTGCTGGCTGGGGCTGGTGGGAGTTGCAGTCAACCACAACTGCCAGTTCTGCCTTGTTTAGGGGAAGTCACCCAACGGTCTCTTGGTGCCCCACCTCTAAATCCGCCCCACACCGCAGATCAACTCGGAAGTAAGTTGCATTGAGCCCGGTGGGTTTTACTCCCGGGCGTCCTCTGAGAATGACAGCTGGGTGGTTTCACATCTAATTCATGGCAGAATTCGTGTGTCACCTCTCAATCTTCCCCCGGCTGATTCCACACCCGAGCAGACCGGTGAACAAAATCGCAGCGTGGCTCTGGTTCTCATTTCTTTATTTTTCTTCCTTTCGGTCCTGCCCTTTTCCCGCTCCCGAAGAAGCCCCTGGGCTTGCCCGTGCCATTCCCACAACATCTCCGTGAGGTCAGCCAGGCTGAGGGTCCAGCACTGGCCCGGAGGCCCCCGGCGAGCTGTCGTGCCAGGCACGGACTTGAACCCGCGTTTCTCGGGTTTTCCTAGGGAGCATCAGAGACCAGAGAGTCACACCTTTAAAACCTGTCGCTGAATAGGAAACAACGCCGGCTATAAGAGTTTGTGGCTCTATCACAGGCCTATTTTACCCTCCCTTGGCTGGGGATAATGGGTGCTGGGCTGGGCCCAGGTTGGGGAATGCCTGGGTGCGTGTTAAAAGCAATAAGACAGGAAGGGAGCGAAACACGCAGACTCAGAGGCTGTTCTCATTGACAGTGGCTCTGGAGCGCTTCTTGGATTTGAAACCATATTCGTTTCAGTGACGGGTCAAGGACAACGTATTTGTGGGAAATGCAGGATAATGGCTGTAAATCAAACGGCGACCTGTCGATGGACAGCGGAAGCATCCCAGCTTCGGTGTGGCAGGAAGGCAGAGTCCCAGTCTGAGAAAGAAGCCCAGAAGTGCGGACAACGGGATGCTTTCTATTTACAAAGACGGGCGGCAGCTTTCCTGGGGCACAGCCTGCGAAGGCCCAGAGGCATCTTCTGAAAAACCGCCGGCGCCCGCTGACTCGCGAGTAAGCCCTGACGAGGCCGTCTGCAGGTTTCGAAGGTGCAAACTTAAGGCAACATCAGGAAACCGTTGGACCGCCAAAGGATGGATGGGGGCTTCCGTTGTGCAGGGTGGCCCCGAGAGGATCGTTTGGGGGTGACATGGACACCCGCAGCCCCATGGCTTCCCTGTGAGACACCGTCGCCTGCGTGAGGTCGCATGTCCCGCACGGGGACCCTTACTGCCCGAGCAACTCATCCAGCGATCGGCGGAAGGGTCTCTCCAGCTCAGTCCAGCATCCCGAAGATACACTCATCTCGTTTCCGTATTTGGGGTCACAGGGCTGTTGTTATAATTAGGGTCTCTCTATTCAGCGATGGAAGACACACTGCTTTCCAGATGTTGGCAGACATCTACTTCCAACACCCCCGGCTGGCCAAGCCAGTGGGTTTTCCCATTCCCCCAACTTCTGCCACAAGCGGTTAGGGCTGTGCCCCAAGGAGCTTACAGTTTAAACACTGCACCCCTGAAACTCCCGTGATTTCTGCCCTGTATTTCGGTTCCTTACACAGTGCCTCTGTTTGGCTAGTTGAAAATGTGTCCTATTTTCTATATTTTCTTGGTAACATTGTAAACATGTCAATTAGAATGCAATATGAGTAACGAGTGAGAAAGAAAGAAAAGAAACAGAACGGAATCTCTCAGGCGCCAGGCATATATCGCAACCCTTAAAAGACCCGTCCCCCAAAATGGACCCGATCCGACGGCAGTTCAGACAGCCATTACCTTGGGCGGCAGCGGCGGCGGCTGCTCTGGCCGGCTTGGTCACCCTGGGAGGAGAGGGCCTTTAGAAAATTCCATATTCCCAAGGGAGAGGCCCGGGGTGACGGCTTCGGAGGTCGGCCATGCGTCTTTGGTGGCAGGCGGCCTGGCCCAGGGGGGGCCTGCTGCCCCCGGGGTGATAAGCCAGCCCAGGAGGGCAACTGCCCTCTTGGGGGCTTTCGTGGAGGCGCTGGAGCGACGCTTCGGGGGGGCCCGGAAGCGGGGGTGCCTTCGCACAGCTGGGCTCCTGCGGCAGCGGGAACAGGCCGGGCGGGTCGCCGCTGCAGCGGCACTCGGCGTGGGCACAGGGCCACCGGGCCGGGGGGGCGGAGCGCAGCGACCTGGAGAGCGAGGCGATCCGGTGGATGGCCCGGCGCAGCGTGGCGATCTTGGAGAGCCGCTTGCCCGCCAGGTCGTGCCGGAGGGCCAGCCGCAGGGCGTTGAAGGCTTGGTTGTAATCCAGGATCCTCCGGCGCTCGCGGACATTGGCTGCCACGCGGCGGGCCTTGGAGCGCGTGGGCCGGGCTTTGCGCCGCGGCTTGGCCTGCTCCGTGGCCCCGGGGTGGGCCGCCCCCTGGCAGGGCTGTGGGAGACGCACGTCCCACGTGGAGGCGCCCGGCGGCCCTTCTCCCCAGGAGCCGCCTTCGCCCCGGCGGCCGGCTGCAGCGCCAGGCATCACTCCAACGAGCTCGGCCCCGAGCGGGGAACTTGCCCGGTGCCCCTCGCTGGCTGCGCCCTCTTCCGCCTCTTCACTCCCGCAGGCTCAGGCTTAATTGCAGCGTTGCGGAGACCTGTCCCGGGTTCCCTTTTTATGACCGGCCTCCAGGTATCCGGCCTAGCACAGGAAGGAGCATGCAAAGACACCGTGGCCGGCCTCCCTGTCCACTCCCAGGTTGGCCGGGCACAGGATGAGCCTGTCGGCGCATCCGTCAAGGCAGCGGGTTGTCACCAGTTTGATTTGTTAGGGGGCTGTGGCATCCCAGCGGGTTTTCAGCGCTCTCAGATCTTCTGCTCCAGATTGGTTGCATGGGTTTTTTCTTAATTTTTAAAGGAAAGGCCAAAAAAAAAAAAAAAAAGGTAATGCTAATCATGCAGGGTGAAAAGTTAGGGGGACGGAGTGGAACTTGGGAGATTCGGGGTCCCAGCCCCACAGCCGTCTGTCCGTCCCCTGCAGCCAGGAAGTTCATGGAGCGACTGGGGCCACGAACTTGGGCAAATGTGCATTCCACCCCTCCCCCCGTCGTGTATAATCTGTCCCCAAATGCTAATTTTCATTTTCTAGCCCAGCGGAGAAGAGAAGCATTTTTCTCCTGCTCCTCTTCTTCTATTTTTTCATTTTTTTGTGCAGCTAAATTTGGGTCCAGTCCTGGAAAGAAAGAAAAATGGTCCCAAGCGCAGATCATTCACGGCTGCCTGGGATTCTATTTCTGGCCTGCTTCTTCCCCGCCAGGGAGCCCAAATTGGTGTTCAGGGTCCTCTCCATTGGCGGCCTCACATCAACCCTGTGAGGTAGGCCAGGCTGAGAGTCAGTCAGTGACTCAAAGCCCCCCAGTGAGTTTTGGGTCTTCCTCTTCACGCTAATTACTTCCCCACGATGGTCTTACATGGCTCTCCTGGGAGATTTCACCCTGCAGCTGAAATCCGCGGCCCACCTGAGCAGAGGAAAATTTTGGCCCCCTTCGAGTCCCAGGCCTGTATCCACAAGTTGCTATGGTTTCAATGTCTGTGCAACAGGTCGAAATCCAGCTGGTGCAGATAGCGCACTACCGGATGGGTGTTGGTATTTTTGGACCAGATTGGCCGCGATGCACAGCCAGGCCGGAATTTGAAGGCGCTTTCACGTGTAAACAACATTTCTTTCCCTGCACCTCCGCCTGTTCTCTCTGAAAAGGTTTGGAGTGGGAGGGGGGTGACATGGCCACCCCCTCCCCACCAAGCTGCAAGATGCAGGGAATTTGCTCCGGGGTCTCAGTGACCCCCCTGCCCCCGGCCGAGGAAGGAAGCGAGTCAGGAGACAGATCTGGGCAGGTGATAAAAGGTACCCGCAGCTTTTTCCCTGCCTGTCCTTGCAGGATTAGTCCTGGACTAGCTGCTGGCCTTCTCTGGCTCTCCCGATGGGACCCGTGGGAACAGAAAGCGCTTCCAGGGTTAAGTTCACTTTGTCCAAATGAGTGACGCTTGTCCAAAAAGGAAAAAAAAATCTGAAAATACGTAGTATCTCCTCATATATTTCTCCTCATCCCTGCAATTTCGGTGTTGCAATTCTGCCTGGCCCGCAGAGTGTTGTTACTGCAAAGGGTCAGAGTGTTTCACGTTGGAACCCGAATTGCGTTCGCAGGCGCAATCCGATCTTTTCATTTCTGAGCGGATCGCTCCATCGCAACCTCCCAGCAAGCGCAAATTTGGAGGGATAACTCCGTTCACACGACAGACGGCTGGAGGGCGCAGAACCAGGGAATCCAGAAGTGACTGGGATGATATTTTTCTCACGCCCAGTCCCGGGTGCATATAGCCCCAAAAACTCAGGAAAAGGACAAAGCAGACCAGACCAGAGGAATTGTCCTCCGGAAATGTTGCTCAGGGAACTGGAGCTGCAATTTTGCACACATTTGCTTGGGATTCAGAGGGGCTGACGCTGGCAAACCCACGTGGCTTGAAGGCGAGAAGGCGTGTGCACTCTGTTTTGGAAGACCCGGGTTCAAATCTCACTCAGTCATGGAAACTCACTTGGCTGACTCCGGGCTTTTCGCTGCCTTGCAAGCTAACCCACCATGTTGTGGAGATAAAAAGTGGCTTATTTATCCCACTTTGGGCTCCCTGGGGGAAAGACAAGATACATGTTGAGGAAATCAAGAAGCAAGCAATCCGACTGAGGTGTATTGAATGGCACGGCATGGCTGCAAAGCTGTACCAACCAGATGTTCTCCAGATGTGTCGGACTGCAACTCCCATCATTCTCACCAAGGCCAGGAAAAGCTCCCCGTGCGTTTCCCTGGGACTGACTCGGCATCGGCTGTCAGCTTCCAGCTCGGTGGGGAGGTGTACCCACGCCAGCTTTTAGACTGAGCTTTGAAGGAGCTGTGCATTTGGTGCTTGGGACGCCCCCCTTTCAGGTGGTCTGGATGCACTGCCCAACTGGCCCTGCGCTGCTTGGCCTCCACTGGATCGAGCCCCACTGGCCGTGACGGCCGTGACTGGGAAGGGCCTTGCGGGGAGCTTGGCCTCGTGAGCGGGCAAGGATCCGCAGGGTTCTTCCCGTCCGGAGACGGTGCGGCCACCTTGACGGATGCCCTGCCCTCTGCCGGGATGGAAAGGCCGGGCGGAATCCCGTGAGAGGGAAAGGAAGGGGCCCTCCTCGGCCTCTTCGGGCAGACAAAGGCCCCGCCAAGCTATGGGAGTTTGGGCGGCAAATGTCCCAGGACTGCCAGCCCCCCGACCCGGAATGTAAGTAGGATGGCACCCCACATCACTGCGGGCCGGCCCGTGCCAGCCCCCCAGCACCCACCCCCCGAGAGGGGCGTTCTCGGCCCGCCTCCGCGGCGCGTTGGACCCGTCGTGGCAATGGCTGTCTGTGCGGCTGCCCTCCCTCCCGGGCCGTTTGAAGGCCCTGCTGCCGGGCCGTGGGGCAATCGATCATTCCGCCGTCTCCGTGCTCCGAGCGAGGGAAGGGACTTCAAAGGGGGGCGGGAGAGCCGGGGCGTACCTTCCGGGGCTCGCCTGCCCGGCCTCTCCGGGGCTGGAATCTCGCCTCGCCAAGGGGCCCCGTTTCTGTGGGTCAAAATTAATAGTTAGCCAGACACGCCGGGGCTGGGGGGCGGTGATTTAAAGCCGCGGCCAGGTGCTGTGTGGAGGTGCTTATTAGCGTGGAGAGCGGGGTGGGCTGGCCGGGTAAAATTCCTTCCCTGGAAGGCAGGTGCCCCGCCGGAGGGTGCGGAACGGGGCGTGAACGCAGTGCCCCCCCACTCTGGTAGACTGCTGCTGGACAGGGAGGGTCTCTTTGAGCATCACACACTCCCGGACAGTGAAGTGCCCGACATTTTGCAGCCGAAACATTGTGTGAGAGGAAAGGAGCTGGAAGGCTGGGGGGAAGGAGCACAATGCTTCAGAGAGGACCCCCCCCAACCCCCCCCCCAGCCCAGTGAGCATGGCACATGCTCACCCGGCCGGCCGGAGAGTCCATGGACTCTGGGGACGGAATGGCACTCCCTCTGCGAGGGTGTGGCTGGCGGGAAGCCGGGCCAGGAGGAAGTGTTGCCCGCGGTGCCATTTCGTCATGCTTCGGGGCTAGAGAGGTTCTCCGATCCCCCCGCATGTTTTGGGCTGCTGTCCCCCCCAAACTGCTTCAGGAGGGGATTTTGGGGGGCCCACATGCAGAAGGGTTGCTGGCCGGGAGCGGCGCCCAGCTCGTGGGTTGTGCCGGTCGGGACCGGGACGGGGTTTCGGCATGTGGGCTGCCTGCCCGAGGGGGGGCGCGGACGGGGAGGGGCGCCTCTGCTCAGCCTCCCCCAAGCCCCGTTGATTTATCGCCTCTCTTCCACCGTGGCAGCCCAAGGCGTGGCAGGCCGGGCGCTGGGGGGCAGGGGCGGCGCCGTCTCGGCACGCCATAAATCTCGTTGCGCGGAAAAGCCCTCGCTCCCCCCCCGCCATGGCTGTGGGGCGGGCGAAGGGTGGCTGCAGGCACAGAGGGGCGGGAGAAGGAAAGGGTCGGGCACAGCCCAGCAGGACCTCGATCCGCATTCTTGGTTTTCAAACACTTTTTAAAAACTTTGCACATCAGCTGAACCTGCCCGGATGCCAACAGGGCCCACCTAGCCACCCACCCCCAGTATACTGTTTCCAGCAGAGGACAGTCCGATGTCCTTGGACGCGTAACAGGAAGGGAAGAACTGCCGCAGCCTCTTATATCCTCTTTGCGGTGTACTGCCTCCGAAATTGAGATTCTCTTAAGACTGGGATCACTTTATTTTCAAAATCAGAAGCAAAACTGAGAGTTTTCTTGCCCCTTCGTTTTGATTGCGGGCAAGGAGTGAATTTGGATTCACATGCAAGGAAACAAAAATGGGCACGTGCATTTGCGGAAGGCTAAGTGAGCAGATGGGAGTTGGAGTCCAACACATCCAGAGGCCTGGGGAAGACTGCCCCAGAGACCCGTTGGGGGAACCACCATTTTCGAGCTCGCCCACATTCTCTGAAGCTTCTGAATGGGAAAAATGCATCGTTCTCTACATTCATTGGCTGAGGCATAAAAATGAGGGTGTTTCGTTTTTTAAACGTGTGCGTTTCGACTTGCACATCCAAAAAACTCCGTGCATTTTCCCGACACTGTTGCAGATGTGAGGAACTAGGGCCCCGATTTCTCGGGAAAAATCACGCCTGTTCGCATTCAGCGTTGCAGCCGGGCTGCCAGCTTGGGGACCCGTGAAACGGGGGTGCAGGTCCCCACGGGGCCCAATCCAGCAGTCCTAGGACCCGCCACCTTCCCTCTCTCAGCCTAGCCTACCTTGCAGGGCTGCCGGGGAGACAGAGCTTGGCGCTCGCAGCCCTTGTGCCTGGCGGGAAGGGAGGGAAGAAGCCAGAGCATGCAGGAAATGAGGGTATTTGCCGCCTCCTGCCTCTGTCCTGCCCCCTTTTCCTCCTGCGTGGGCGTCCCCGGGGTGAACGGTGGCCTCTGTGCCC